TTACACCCTCTACTTTCTGGCATCCTCTTAAACCTCTGAACCCTGACCCTGAACCCCTGAACCCCGAACCTCGTACAACTCACTTCGGTTGTACCCCCGCACCTAGACCTCGTTTCCAGAGTCCTGCCTGTCCTGATCATTGTAACAACCCTACGATATAGAGCTATGGTGACCTACGTTTACACCCATACATAAGACCAAGAGGTCAAATGGTAGACAAGGAGGGTATGCAGGCGCATATCCAAGAGATATCCGATGGTCCGGAAATCTCTAAGAACAGAAGGTACTTGAGGAATTGGTGTACCAAAGTAGTAGTCATAACGTGACATTGTCCGCTCTGGCCTAAGGATAGGTCAGAAGGCCAGGTAAGTTTACCCTGTCAAAGGACGTCACGTTACCCTACCATGGAGACCTGTTTCGTGTCACCATGGATGTACTTACCCTACCTTTGGGACACTATTACCCTACCTTCCGTCGGAAAGGTTCTCGGAGTAATTCCGGGAAATGTTAGGATTGTTTGTTACGCAATGACAATCAACGGGCACTTGCTTGCACCTTGATCGGAAGGCTACGAGAGGAGCTATAGTGCTCCGAACAAGCTATAACTTGGTAGAATTATTCCTAACAGGTACCTGCGGCCCCAGGGTTCGCCCCGGGTGTCATGGGCCAAAATGGTTGAAGTTGCCGTCATACTAGTTAAATGGAGTCAATGAAGGCATGTCCGTAACACTGTATGCGTCGTCGCCGTCCGTCCGACCGGAAGCTGTTCGCAGGATATATGAAAGAGGTGAAGGTGAAGGTGAGAAGGTCAAGTACCTTCTCCAAAAAGAACGGAGTAAAACGGACCAAAACTGACGGAGTTAGCGTGAGCTATCCGGAAGGGTCCCCAGAGTAGTCCTGGGTAGTGCCGGAGACATCTGGGAAGGTTTTACACCAGTCAAGCCTACACATGCCCCTTTGCCGTAGGCTCTTTCTGGGTTGTTTGAGGACCCTAATAGCATGATACTTATCACAGTGAGTGGTGTGTCGGGGGTAAGGGACCATGGGTAGCGCCCACGGGTCTCGCCGCCGACACAGCTCTCTGTGGGAGCGTCGTAGACCCCCTAAGTTCGCAATCAAGTAAGATAGAACTTAACCGGTAGAAAGTGGATGTCTACGAGAGCTTGCATAGGTCATAGCACATGGGAAGAGAGTCATTAAGTTAGCTTTCCTAGGCGTCTTGACAGTTAGCCACTGGCAAGACCCCGATGCGCAGAGGTTTTCACTCTGGCAGGTGTATTGGTAAACACCTCGCAGGAACTGATGTGCATATAGGAGATTTCTGCTAGAGTGCGCTGACACCTTAAGCCCTTTGAGGATAAGGAAATCGTTGGGGCAACGCTTACGGAGAAAGGGTATACTCGTGTTGGTCAGGGTAATCTGATGGGGGAGTTTTTGGTATAAGTCTGACTACTTAAAGATTATACGAGAACTCTCCTACCCCGACACAATCAACATCCTCTCGAGAGACTTTAATTGAGATAAGCCTGAGCTTAACGATATTAAGTTTTACCGTTTACTTTTATTCTTTACACTTTTGCAAGAGCTGTGTTCGAGAGATTTGAAGTTTGGTGCGGTCGCATCCTTGGGAGCCATCTACCTGAGGGAGCTCCCGTTACAATCGTGGTGTCCCTTGGGCTACCCGACCCTCAGACCCTGTCCGTTACACACATATACTATCATCTCTTGTTGTTCAATCCCTGCTTTACTCGTAGGAATCTGAAGCTTGTCGATTTCTTGTACTGTAAAGGATGTGAGGGGTTGAGGGCTTGAAGTACTTGCTGTATATAGACAAGTAGGTTGTAGGGGGTTTCTAGTAGGAGCTGGTAGTGAACTGGTTGTGTGAGTTGGAAGTTTGTGGAGGATGATATCACGGTCTACAGGAATCAAGCCTATATTTCGAAAACCACTGGAGATGTTGGCTGAGATAAATGAATCACGCCGAGCTGCCATTAAAATCTCATAGAAATTGTCCTTGGATACTCCGTACTCGTGTCGTTCAAATCTCTTGGTCAGTTGTCGTTGATACTGGTGTTAATAGCGTCCAAAAATTAAAACATTAAGTGGTTGGAGGCAGTGTGTTGTATGCGGTGGTAAACAATATGGCACAATTCTCTGCTCAATACAGTAGTCCAGAAATCAGGAATTGACATGGCTGCTGTGTCCATCAAATAGTAGCAATTGGTATTCTTCTCCTGCTTTTCTAGCAGATTGACTCGTGGGTCCAAAGTTTCGATCCAAGTATTTCATCGCCATCTTTTCATCTGTCCATCCATTGTGAGACTTTCCAAAAAGGATATCTTCAGGAACCCCTCGTACCAGTTTGAACTACTCCGCAATAAAGTCTTCTGCCTTTAAAATAATCGTAGGATCGAGAGAAGTACCATCTCCACAGATACCTTCTATTACTGTCACAAACTCACGAGTACCATCTATTTGGTTTTTTATTTTTTAGTAATTATTCAAATTAATATTTAAGAGAAATCATACTTTGAGCACGGAAGTTGAGTTTTCCATTTTCTCTAGGATTTCTAACAACTTCCAGTACCCGTTCTGACTGGCCTAATCCTAGCAAGAAGCCAACCTCATTGATATTGTAGGTATTTTCTACCTTTATTTGATAATCTTGAACTATAGACTCTAGCTAAATAATAAATTAACTTAAAGTACACTTTTAATATAAATAATTAAATAAAGAATGTTAATAATAAATTAAAAAAAAAAGTAACCTCATCAAAAAAGTGATTCATTAACTCAATATCATTCCCACAGATATTCCGAATAAAATCCAGCTCCTTGCTGAAGTAAGACTTTGTTTCGAGGTGTCATTTCATAAATCCTATCTCCCATCTCTTTCCGATTGTCTCATCATATTTCCGCTTTTGAACAACTGATAGAGCAATATCTCGAAGTTGCCAGATTGTGGCAGGAAATCCAAGCTGGCATCAGAAGCAGCACCATTCAACAACAATCTTTTCCTCCTTGATAGTAAGCTTTTGGCGACTACTACTCTCTTCCTCACGACTCTTCCGACCACTTCGACGGTGCATCAGTGTACTTGGTGCAGTGCCTACCATTTTTGCTGCAGCAGTATGGCTTGAGACATTCTTATTAGCTGCCATCTCAATAGCCAGCTGCTCCTGGATTCGGGCTGGGATCTTGGAAGGTTTAGAAGTCATATTTGGTAGGAACTGATAGTATTGGACATGAGGGTTCGTCAAGTTTTCTCCCTTCTCCTACATTATGATGATCACATTTTTACTTGATTATAGTGGCAAGTCAAGCTGCGCCAAGCCTCGCTGAGGGTACCACCTCGCTGAGCCCTCACATGGTCTATACTCTTATCTCTTGAATATTTGAAGTTCTTTTAAGTTTATTTTCCTTACCTTGTATACTGTTTCCCATTTCCCTCTCTCTTGCTCCCATATAGACTCTTCCTCTTTCTCTATCTCTTCTATTCAGATCTAAGTTTTCTTCCATATCTGTACCAATTAATCTAACCTCACCATCACTTGCTTCTTCATATCTACCTGCTCGAGTTGGTATGATTGTAGATCGGCCTGATATTTCTTGTCCTTCAGGCTGCATAGATCTCTGTCTCTTGCTTCCTCCTCCTTCTTCTCTTCTTTCAATACCTCTTTCTTCTTCCTGATTCTCACTAGTATTTATCCTCTCTTCCTGCAATTTGTTATCTTCTCTTATACCACTCACAGTTTCAAGCAAGTGCTCAACAGCTAATACTATGTCTTCAGTATTGGAACTAGAATCGTATTGGACTGGAGGATGAATATTAGGACAATCACCAAAAAGAGCCTCAAGTCAGAAGAAAAATGTACATCGTGATAATAGCTTTTCTAATTTAATTATTTTTTTACTATTAGCTACTTGTATTTTTTATAAAAATAAAAATAATAATAATAATAATTATAATATAAAAATTCTTTATTAATTACATCCCTCATAGTACTCTTTTCCCTTCACTTAAATCACCCATACTTAATCTCCAACCTGATTGGTTATTAAGCTTTGCTGCCTTACGTTAAGATTTGAGTAGGTTGTCATATTTGTAACTGACTTTCGCTCATGGTTTTGTTGGAATCTTGGCCACAATCTCCCTTACTACCTGTTTTTTGGTAATCCCTAAACCCTTTTTTATCTTTCTCAAGTTCTCTGGCTCTTCCAGCCATTGTACTATAGCCTCTGTCTCTGCTGTTGTCCAAATCGAATGTGTAGTTAATGTTGGTGGCATGATTGTTCTTTGCTGTCGTTGTTGTTGTAAATTATTCTTGATTTCAGAGTTGAAAATTTTTTTCCTCTAATATGCACTAAATCTTACTCCTGATTACATACTTGTATATTAAGTTCCTGTGATAGGGTTCTCAAATATGTCACTAAAAACCTCTACATACTATTGGCTTGTTGTATGAAGTACGCTAATGCAAGATTCCACACCTACTTTTACAAAAAAAATCTTGCTTTTAACTTTGAATACCCCTACTGTACGAGTACTCTAACGGTATCATACGGTAGTGCTAAACCGCCATTTTGGTCATTTTGCCTTCAATTGTCTCGGCGAGGATGGATGAAGGGGGGGGGGGGCTCTGCATGAGGTTAAGATTGGTCAGGACAAACTAGGTTAGTCGACTTTCTCGCCAAAGTCGGTGTTGGTAACATACTCGTAGTCTACACCTTTACCATAATCCGGCTCCCATTATGGGTTCAGCACCGGTAGGGGAGGTTTCGGATTTGTGATTCGTTATTTTTTTCTGTCCTCTCTGTTGTTTTCCTTGCGGGTCCAAGAAAAGTCTTTTACTGCTCGTCGGGGTGTGTTCACACGAGTTGGGCACTGGCCGGGAGACTTAAGCCAGGCACCCTTAACGAGAAAGGTACGGCACTGGTAGCATACAGTCCGGATACTTTGAGCACGGTAGAGCACACAGTTCAGGAAGAAAAAGAGAAGGAGGCCTGCATTCCTGTCCCTCCCTCCTCATTCCTTCCCCTTCACTCCACCACTGCCCTCATCCTTACCTCGCCTGCTGTGCACCGGTACTTACTCCCCTTTTTCGTCTTCTTTCCTGGACTCTCTTCCCCCGCCCTCGGCGTGTGTACCATTTCTTCTGTTCTATCGCCCCTCGCCCGCGATTCACCTGTGCCTCGGTCTCTACCGTTAAGCTTCTCTGTTTGTCCCCCTCCGTTGTTTTTCTTTAGACACTCAGTCTACCCTGCCCATCGTTCCTGCTTCCCCCGGTTCCAAGTATACCGCAACGCGTCCTACTTTAATTCTACTCCCCCAATATCATCTGGAGGGGCGGCCTCGTTCCTTTTTCTTTTGCGCCTACTGTAGCTCCCATTTGCAAAAATTTCCCCGTTCTGTTTGGCAGGTACAAGCACTCTGCCTCGAGGAGTCCAATCCAACCGCACTACAATTCTCGCACAAATATTGCTTCTTCTTGTCTCTTGATCCTTCTCAGGGGAACAGGGAAAAAGCCATAAGGGTGTTGTTACCTTGCTTTTTCAAACAACTTACAGATGGCTAGTTTCGCAGCGGCGGGGTCGAGCACTAGTACGGTCACCGATAGTTGGAAAACGTTTGGTTCTCCTAAAGTCACATATAGGAAGGGCCGTCGCCACTCTTCGCATCATGTCCGCTCCCGCAATTTCTCCACGGATTTGCTGGAGGATGACTCGATTCTTCTCCTCAAGGTTTGAGCCTTTCTCCCATTCTGCTTCTCGTGGGCCAATTGCGGCGAGGGGATCACTTTAGCTCACTTTACTCCTTTTTTCTCTTTTTCTTGCACCCCCTTCAGGTTGATCTATTCTTGAGCGAGTTGGAACGACGTCTCGACTATCTGGAAGAGTACGGAAATATAAAGCTCGATGAGGGTATCCAACGTGCGTACGACACACTGCAGGCCGTCCGTGAAGGATGCGGAAGAGTTGGAGGGGAAGTCATCGGGGAGGGGAAACGGAGAGCGAGGGTTATCGTGGAGGTGCTTGAGTCCAGTTACCATGAAGTTATAGAGGCCAAAGAGACCCTACCCGCAAAGGTACACGCGGGCGTTCGCTTCCTAGAGGAGCTCCTGACGGAATTCGAGACGTGCTCGCACGCCAGCATGGATCGGAAATTGGACCAGGCCATGCGTGGAGTCGAAGCCGTTATCGATGCGAAGGACAAGCTCGCCGAGTCGATCGAACGCGCCATTAAAGCTGCCCGGGAGCGTAGGTTGATAACCTACGAGGAGTTACCCTTCCCATGGCGGGTGAATCCATACATCACCCGGGGGTACCGCTTTACGGAGACAAAATTGGAGTGCGTTAGGTCGGCTTTTGCACTTAATAATGAAACGTGCAATATTTGGACCCACGGGCTCGGGTTCATCCTCATCTTGGCTATCGCCTTTTACTTCTACCCCATGTCGCAGATATTCGATTACCATACCACTGCCGACAAGTTCATCAATGGGCTATTTTTCCTTGCTGCAGCCAAGGCGCTCGCCTGTTCCACTATTTGGCATACGTTTTCTTCCATCTCACACCAGACGACGATGGAGCGCTTTGCCTGCGTCGATTACTCTGGCATCTCCATGTTAATCGCAGCGAGTATTATCACCACCGAATATACCGCCTTCTATGTTGAACCCATAAGTAGGTCGATCTATATAACCATTACTTTCCTATTCGGCGTCGCCGGAGCCATCCTTCCATGGAAGCCCACATTCAATAGAGCGGACATGAGAGTATGGAGGGTAGTCTTCTACGTCACCCTGGGAGCTACCGGAACAATCCCCATGATCCAATTATCCATAACGAGAGGCCTCTCATGGGTTGCACTCTTCTACTTGCCTGTGTTGAAATCGGTATGACCCCCATCGCTTGCTCTGCAACGTTGCCTTGTCGATATCGTTATGAATACTAATCATGGCATAGATTGCCGTCTACATCGCAGGGGCTGTTATATATGCCATGCAGGTACCCGAGCGGTTTTACCCAGGGTGTTTTGATTGGATCGGTGGCAGCCACAATATCTGGCATGTGTGTGTGCTTGGGGGGATTTTGTTCCACTGGCACGCTATGCACGAACTTTTTCACGGAGCTTTTGAAATGGCCACCGCTTAGAACGAACTCTTGACGAATACCATTTCGATCATTTCTTTTCCCTTCATTTCTCCCTTCCCGATTAAGTATTACCGTTGTGAATTCCTCCTCCCCCCCCCCACTCTTACTGACAGAGATACCCTTTCCCCCTTCTCCCCTTTTCTACCTCTTTCATTTGGAGCGAGGAGGAAGCGATCGAGTGATTAGAGCGGGACAAGATCTAGACACGCGGTTTCGTTGTATTCGTTTATTCCTGTTACTATTCATTGACATCACTAAACTATAGAGTAATACACAAGTGCGACTTGTCTGTCTGTAAGTAGAGGAGCTGTATCGTGGCTTCTTGTATTTTTCGTTGCTGACTCTTCGGATTCGGATCTTCATTGCGCAAAACATTCTCATCCGATTCGTTTCCATTTGCCCCTCTTCTTTCGCGCCATACCCTTCATGCTTTGCGGTGCTTTCTCTCTCCTTTCTCTATATCTATGGGGTTTTCATTCCCTCATTTCATCCTTCCGCGGTTAATTGTAGATAGTCGACACATCGAGATGGTTTGAGCTTAACTTAATATGTGGGAAATTGGTGGCTGGCTTGGAGAGCACTTCTTGGGCATCACCGGCTAGGGTGGCTGAGTGGGCGAGAGGGCGGTGAATGAAGGAATGAAAGAAAGAAAGAAAATACAAAAGGAGTTGTGTTTACAGTACTTGAAAACTTAGAAAGAAGCCGACCGCAATTTCCTATACGAGTACCCATAGTGTCCTTAGCTCCAACAAGCCAAATTATTGCCCGGGTACAAGTACCGCCACCACAATCGTACCAGTGCTTGCATAGTGCCCCACAGCAACAATAGACTAAATTTAACAACAGATCGTGCCGGATACATGCGCATGACCAACTTGTCTCACGATACCCCCACCCTGTGCACCAAGCCCACAACCGACGCCGAAAAAAAAATGAATGAATGAAATAGCCTATTTCCTCGCCCGCATACACATCCTAACCCTCTCAAGTACCTCCTCACGAGTGCCGGAAGTCTCTAGCCCTCTCTGTCATACAGTAAGCCATTAGCCCTCCCTGCTCCTGCCCAAGCTTTCCCCCCAAATCCTGCCCTAAAACATAGGGCCCATAGAAGATACGTACCCTCTCCAACCACACCTCCATCTCGCCAACCGTCCATTCTTCCGGGTCTGGTGTAATACCGTACTTGTTAGTACATGTAGGGTAGGGTAGGAAGTAGAGGGGGGGGGGGTGATACCACTAGTAGGATCGCCAAGTACGTTCAAGTCTACGTCCGGCTTCATTATTGACCATGCGGATACTGCTACGACCATTGCCGAGAATGCTGGGTTTTGTTAACTCCGTTCTACCTGCAAGCAGAGTTGGATGGGGAGGAGGCTTGGATGGAGTAACGGTGGCTCCGGGAGAGGATAGATGGGGGAGAAACCTAAGAAAGCATTCTGAGAAACAGCGTCAATATATCTGTATAGTTCTTCCATTCTACCCTCTATCTACCTAGCTAGCTATATAGAATAGCGGGGAAGCAAGGAACGAAAGAAACCCAGAAGGATGGTGGACGGGGAAATGGTACGGTACTTTCGAAGTAAGCATCTTGTCCAAAGGTGTTTGTGGCATTCTTGTTTTTAGTGGGAGAGATATGGGTGGTAGACGAGGCAGGATGAGTTGGCGGGAGGGCGTGCGTGCTGTACGGGCTGCGCAAACGGGGCCGGGGTGGGTTTATGACACTCTGGAGTGTACTTGTGGTGGACCCACTTGACACGACGATGGTAGGCCTGGAGAATCCTTTGCCTGAGCAGTTACATTCCTCAAGTTAGTCACGGCGAACGCGTGGCTAGCTTCGAACGCTTGTCCTGGGGAACGGAGATCAGATTCCCGTTGATCAGATTAGATTCGAATCGAAGACTGAAACGAATAAATTTATCACACCTGTCCCGTATCATGCGCTAGGGCTCAGCCCTTGGCGGAAACCGGCAGTCGCACGCACACACACTCACTCATCAGATCTCAAAGTCCACCTTCCCCCATCGTGGTTTTATTTCCACCACGACAACGAATTGGAACGGAACAGCGCAAGAGAAGGAAGAACTAGCCGGTAACAGCACCCACAGCCATCAGGATGCCGAAACAAGTTCACGACATTAAACAGTTTCTCGAGTTATGCAATAGGGCAGATGCTAAAGGTATTTATCTTCCTTTGCCGCCATCAATGTCTCCGGCAGCCTCAGTTCATGTTTGCTGATGTGTGATTCATTATTCATAGCTGCCAGAATTAAGGTTCGTCCTCACGGATGGCCCATCAATATCAACGGAATTGGGAGAAAGAAACTGAGGAGAGGGATACACTAATACTTTACCATGGAATCACAGAAGCCAACCAAAAAAGGCTCCAACACCACCAAGTTCAAGGTGCGCTGCCATCGCCACCTGTACACCCTTGTCCTCCACGATTCCGAGAAGGCGGACAAGTTGAAGCAAAGTCTTCCTCCTGGTTTGTCCACTCTTTCCTCCTTCCTCCTTCGTCCATGAACACCTGCTAACTAGAAGCCAGCACTCATCACTACCGACGTCCCCTCTAGCTCCAAAAAATGATGTGTACAAAAAACAAATTCAATTCTTTTTTCCGTTTCACAAGCAAACAAAAGATGATCTAAAAATTTAATGGAGAGGCTGATGTTCAGGGATTCCGGAGGTGGACCTTACTTGATCGGTTGATTGATTGGCTTAGGATAGATGGGTATTTCCGGGCAATCGGTGGGAACGCTGTATAGTGGTATAGCGGGTTCTGACCGCTCAATGGCATCTGTGTTCTTTATTATTGTTTTTTTCCTTCTCCCTTCACCATCCGATGGCCGTTCCATATCCAAGTTGCTAGGATGTGACTTGAGCGATGGCTGATAGGGGATTCTGTTATGCTACATGGTAGGGGGCTATTATTCCAAAATACCACCGGATATCCTCTGGCTTAACCTTTGAATTTGAACGCGCCTCCACAGCCTTTTTGAAGCCATCTAGGGGACTCAGGGATGCATCGTAATCGCTGCCCCCATTGAACCAAGCGCAAAGCATAATTAATAGTAGGGGCATGCTCACCATAATGTGTGAATCACCACCTCAGGATTAATCGAATGCATCAAATGGATCCACTATTTTGGCACCTATAGTAGCTACAAGTGGCAGCGATGAGTAGTTGTTCCCCCTACCTCCAATTAGCCCCCCCACCCATAGAGAAACGAGCAACATATCATATCGAGATGAGCCTGTATTAGATCAACCCCCTCCCCTTAAGCCTCTCAGTACTGTATGGTGGGGGACTCCTTAAATCAACCCACTCCGAACCCCAAGATCGCCCAACTTTGCATGATGAAGACTCGAGAACAATAACACCTATCAAAAATATAAATCTATTAAATGATATGTTAGAAGCTGGAGAACAATGTAATAGAAGCAGATTTAAAAATATAAGGTTTTGATTGAGTTATCAAAAGGCAGTTATTTGGACAATGTCGCACCCCCCGTTATTTACTGTTAATATACCAGTTAATACGCCAAGACCTAAGGTAACTACATATTAACTGGGTAGTAACGGTAGATTAACCTAAATTAACCTACCCTTAGTAAGCCAAAACAAATGTCGCTGTGGTCCGGTTTAAGGAGTTCCCCACCATAATCTCCTTCAACTCATCAATAAAAGACCTATCCCGTGAAACACAAATGATGCGCCCAATCTCCCCCCCCCCCCTCCTTCTCACGCCCAAGCTCGACGATCCACTCTTTCGCCGTATCGCAACCTGGCCTGGGCGGTACAAATTCTTCAACTTCGCGGGAACCTTAGCGCCCGGATCCCCCAACTCGGCGATGATTACGCCCTGCGTATCATACTCATTATGGTGCTGTGATCATAGAACCAGATCCAGCCTTGGCGGCTCATGCATGTCCGCCACTGGACTGCTAAACCTTGTTACTTAGTCCGGATATGCCGGGGCCGGGGTGTAACTTTAAGCGGTTGAAGGCGTGCAGGGAACTAGGATCGGTGAGGATGTGCACAGGGTAGAATTCCGGGAGAGTTGGTGCTTGTATGGTACGAGTCCTGATGAATGTCATGGTTGCGGTTTTGGGCGAGGTGCCTGTAGGGACGGCTGGGAGGAGGGGTGGACTTTTGTGAGTTTGACAGGGGGTGAGAGCGGTGTGGTGGGATGGCTGGGAGGGGGTTAGGTGGGCTTTGTAAATCGGCATTCCGCGCGTGGGTTGGTGGGGGGAGATACAGTAGGAGGCTCATGGAAGCGGGGAAGGGGCCAAATCAAGCCCATACCGGGTTCTGGATTGGGCTGGGTTGGGGAAATTGTGAATAGTGGTCTGGCAGTAACCCGACACAATGATGGCGAAACATACACCTTCCGCGGGTTTCCACTCGCGTATCACTTCACCCCGTACTGCCTCCGCTACCATTTGATGCCATATCCATTTCTATGAAGCTTCACCCTCACCCTCACCCTCATACTCATACTCCAAAACCCTCCACCCCCTCTCCCCTCTCTCACCCCCCATACCTCCCCAATCAACCCCCCGAACCAACTCCACCTCCCCAAAATAATTAACCTCACCGACCCTCTCAAACCCCAACCCCTCAAAAAGCTTAATACTCCCACTATTCCCTTCAGCAATCTTAACCCTAAACCCCATTAACACCCTCCTTCCACCTCCACCTCCCCTGCCTCCCCCTCCCTGCCCCACGACCTCGTCTCTGTGCATCCCAACGTACCACAAAAACAACCCAACAACTTCCCTCCCCAACCCCATCCCACGAAACTCCCTTCGTGCAATCATGACCTCCACCTCCGCCACCACCTTCCCCTCGACTCCATCGTGTTCGGGCGAAGGGTACAGGAAAAGGTTAACGTCGCCAAGCATACATTCCGGCAGGTCGTCCCTTCGCGCCCTGACCGTTTTTGATGTGTCGGTGGTGGGAGGAAGACAAGCTATAAACGTGAGTTTACCCCCGTCCTCGCGCCAGGACTCCTGCATTGCATGTTCCTCCGGAAGTGTTAGGCGGTCGGAGGCGGTTGCTGTGCGGAGGTCCTGAAGTTTGACGGGTTAAGGGCAATGTTCAGTCTATTTTATGGTGGGGTTCGAGAGAGAGAAGACTGGGGGTACCTCGTCTTCCATCCAGGCGTGGTAGGTCAGTACATGGTGGGGCTCGTATGGGACTAAGAGGATTTTGGGAGATTGGAGGGCTAGGCTTTATTAGCGGATATCCGAATATCAGAGGGGGGGGGTTGGTTGGTTGGAGACCGGAGAGAGGAAGGGGGCTGGGTACAACACCGGTTTTGGAATTGAGCTTCATTGCGATGGAATGGGACGGGATTGGATGTGATGTTACCGGTGGCGGCACCGTTGGTGGTTGTACTCGGGTAGGGACGAAAAAATCGGAAAAAATGTTCGGCAAGATCCTGCGGTGAACCAGGTCAATAGTGAGAAAGTTTGGAAAAAAAAAAAGGGGGGGCTTGGCAGACATCAGAAAGTCGGATGATGGTGTTTGAAGAAGGCACATTACTTGTACAGTTTTAATTTGCTGCACCAGCACTGAGACAGCCCTGGCCACTGGCTGAGTTCTGAATAGGCATACAAGTATCTAGCTGCCCACTAGTCACTCGGTGCAACAATCGGAGTTTAAGATGTCCTACAACGCAGGTTTGGGACGTCTCACAACCTGATCGCTTTTCACCCGTTGTCAAATCGATCATCCCCCATTCCCTGTTTTGCCACCATAAGTTTTCCATTTACTTCGTCCCTACCCGAGTACACACAGCACCAGTACTGGTGCGTTGAACGTTGATGGTGGGTGTGGTGCTGGGATGTGGTGGGTTGTCGGGCCTGGTCACCAACGGTCACCCAGGCGGGATACCCGTTAAGATGTGGATGGTGAGGTACGTGATTTGTGGGAATCGCGGCTGACCTGAGATTTCCGGTGCAATTAGAGTTTTGGAGCCGGTAGTTCCCAGTATCACGATAGTCACCTCATTAGTTTCGCCATCTTCTCTTTGGCAGATTACGGAAAACCACAAGAAAAAGATAGTCAGCTCTGAAATTCTGCCAATGGACCGTTCTTGTTAAATCCCGGATATACTGTACATCCATAATCGATGAGAAGCCCCTCCCCCAGTAGAAAAATAGCTGTCCTCGTGCAAGCTTAGTCCTATACACAATTTCTTTCAAGCATGGATCTGAAATTGGAGGTCCCGTTTCGGTCTCTATCTTGCGCCAGAACCAGTGATCTTCAACATATAGACTTGACGTTGAAGACGATCTGTTAGGCTCGCGCAGAGTTCCACGTTATGAAAACAAAAACAGGAAGACATCTAAGTGAGAGGAGATTATGTCCGCTAAAGTGGAAAATGTATGCAAAGTGTGTACAAGAATTAGTAGTGTACATTTTACAACTATACCCACCGGCTACTACCACCCCTTATAGCTTGACCTTTTCCGGCTCATCAGGCTCGATGTTTAGGGGGAATACATCCCAACCCTCTTCTGGTGTCGCCCAGTCTTTCCTCTCGCCCAATACTGCAACCGCAGACATCCTCCGTACTTGGTCAATAAGATATCGTTGTGCAACGTCGCGGATATCGCTCACTCCAACATCAAGGAGTTGCTCTCGTCGCCTATACATACACATGTCAGTATTAAGGATAGAGTGGAGCTAAGGAAGCTAGAGCATGGAGACAAACGTTTGTCTCATATCATCTGTAATTCCGTCCATGAAGTTGATCATCCCTTCGTCACTCACAGACGTTGGAGCATCAACACCTTGGAAAACGCTCAACTTAGCTTCTTCCAAGTCTTTTGCAGCCCACTCGTTCCTCAGCGCGAACTCTCCGGCATCCTCCGTAACCTTGAGTGTATTGGGCACATTTGGATCTCGATAAGAATAAAATCCAAATATACCGCCAGCACCCCGGTGGAACGCGCCAGCACCGTATGCTCCTCCTTTCTCCCTAATCTCATGATGGAGATGTTTGTGTGTCAAGAGCTGAGCTAGAATTTGCAACGCCGCCCCATCTTTGTTGGTATAAGGAACCGTCTTCACGCACATCGCGGTGTAAGACACCTGGTATGGTAACGGGAAGAAGGCCTTGGCTGGTGCCACAAAATCAAAGAGCGGTGTATTCGCGACAGGTGACTCTGCCCTTGGGAGACTCGCAAGGAACTTCGCAAGAGCGGACTCGTTCGCCGAGGCGGCGCCAACACTGCAGGTTATGGCGGCCCTAAGCTGGTCCCTTCGCGCTGCGAACCGGGCGATCTCCTAGATTGCTTATCAATGGCCATCGAAACATAAACCCAGGACCCAGTACAAACCTTTAATCTCGCTAGAGCCTCATTGTAAACCTCGGTGGCAGCCATATTACTGATTAACCTCACCTGTGTCATTCCTCCGAGAACTTCATTGGCTCTCTAAATCGCTGTGAGCGTAAGTTAGAAAAGAAAGCGGGGTTTAAACATACAGCACCTGGTGTCAGATGAGCAGCAGCGAACGTCCTAGCGTATGCATGTCCAGTCTCCGCAAGGCTATTCACAAAACCACTGGCAATTCCGTGAACCAAAGTTCGTAGTTTGGACACTTGGCCGAAATTTGTCTCCAGCAGGACCGTCCGCAAAAGTTCAAACATATCCGGTATATTGTCGTCCAGCGCGAAACCCGAGAAGACAAGCCCTTCTTCCGTTACTTCGAGATTCGAATGATTAGTCGAGACATGAGTCGACGCCCTTATACCACCTGTCTTGAGCTTAATCTCATCCTCCAGCTCCTCCATCGAACGCTTTCCAGTGCCAAGTCTGAGAATTGCCTCTGTGAATAATGGCAAATACACTCTCAACTCCTCTGGGAGGTCCTTGAAACTACTAATCGCTACTTCCCCATTAGAAAAGGCCCAATAGTTTCACGGGGGCTTCTCTAGTAAAAGAATCTACCTCGAAAATAAGTGAGACCATTTGTAGGAGCAATCCTCCACTGAACTGGGACACCCTCAACCTCCCCAGTTTTCAGTTCCTTCTTTTCCATGTTCCTCGGTATATCTCCCACCTTCAGCGTTGGCAAACAGCTCACATCTTGCTTCTTGGCCCGCTCTTGAATCTCCGCTAATTCTGCTTCCTGCCTCGTCAGGGACTCCCGAGCCACCGCCTCGCCGCCAAGTTTCGCGGTCACTCTGGTTAGCCGGGCCGCTTCTTCTGCTGCAAGGGCCCTCGAATGATCTCGATCGGGGGCCATGGTAAAGGTGAGAGTATTCTTGGTAAGAAAATATTTCTCAAGCAGCCCCTCAAGATACCCACCCTTGGCATATAATTCCTTAAACTTTGAAACTGTTTCTTCAACCGACAGGGCCTCGAACGGATCTACACCATTGAACCAGCCAGATGTAAGGCTTTGCATGACTGACATCCCGAAGTTGGCGGTTTTCTATAAGATTGAAACCATCAATGTATATAATGATAAGAGCATCCGTATTGAGTGAACTTACGTGTTTCAATCCCAACTCTAGTTGATGCAATACCCCATCAACCTTTCTGGAGTCAAATCCCTTAGCACGCATCTCCTGTAGGACTTGACGGATCGTATCTTCCACTTGTTGAACATGTTCTTGCCGAACATTCTGCAGCCCAACCGAAAATATACCAGTCTTGGAACTGGTGTCATATCCCGTATTAGGTGAAAAGTCCGATCCAAGTTTGGCTTCAATGAGGCCTCGATACATTGGCGAGCCATATCCATCAAGCAGAAGATTGGATAAAACCCTCAACGAAAAGGTCTCGACAATATCAGAAGTATTATTCATGATCCAAGATACGGAGATCTTGTGCTGGGAGTCCTTATCCATGAGCGGGTCATGCGGCCCATGGACCCGTATTCTTTGCGGCGCATCGAGTTTTATTGGTTCGCGAAGCTCTTGCTCAGCTCTCGTCCCTTCAAAAGCACCTAACCTGTCGCCAAGCCTCTTGAGGTGAGTCTCGATGGGAATATCCCCATACGTGAAGATCTTTGAGTTTGAAGGATGATAGTGCTTCTTGTGGAACGCCCTCAAATTCTCTAGTGTCAAGTCCGTTATCTTTTCAGGATCCCCTCCACTGTTGTTGATACTTGGGAAGATATGATCCTGAAATCTTATGTAAAAGAGATACGAAGCGTCAGACATCTGCCCCTTCATTTCATTATAGACAACCCCTTTGAAGAGGAGAGGTGATTTAGGATCTGTGGCATCTCCTGGCCCAACCCGCCAGCCCTCTTGTCTGAAATCGGTCTCCTTGAGCAAAGGGTGGAGTGTTGCATCAAGATAAACATCTCTCAGGTTCTCATAATCGACAGCATTTGTAGTGGCAAACGGATAGGTAGTATGGTCGCTAGAGGTGAAAGCATTCATATAGTTCCTAAAGATCATCAGCATAAATTCGACTTAGTCTATAGCGGTACGAAGCACTTACGACAAACTTCGGTTCAACATTTTAAAAAACGGATCACGAACGGGATATCTTAGAGCAGCCGAATTAGCCATTGCACACGCCTCATCAGGGGGCAGTTAAACATACTTACTAGATCCGCACAAAGTTGTATGCTCCAGGATATGAGGCACACCGGTATCATCATCCGGGTTTGTCTTGAACCCGATGGCGAAAACATTGTTCTTATCCTCCCTCGCAACATGAATATAATCAGCACCAGTCCTGTCATGGGCAAGCTGGATCGCCGATAATTCCAGCTCGGGAACGTTCTTTGCCCTCCGAACCGTAAATCCATTGAGTCTGTCACCGGGTTGAGGTAATTGGCGAAGATCGGTAATAGCAGTAGCATAGCTTCGTCGGGTAAGGAGTCCAACAGGAGGACCATGCCGGAATGTAAACCGGGAACCGATCGATAGACCACCTCGTAGCATGGTCCACTCCGCCAGAATTCAATGGAGATGTATATGAGGCTGTGGCGGTCTCTAATAGGGGGCGTTCCGTCGGCGGGGTGGACGTCGTGGTTGTGCAATGCGGGTGCAGTTTGGCACTTGTGATTGCAAACCGCGGGAGAACGGTTTTTTTTTTCCCCTCGTGGTCGAAACGGTGGCAACCAGGAACAGACATCGACGTCACGGGTTCTTGCACAAGAGTCCCCCCCAGTGGTCGGACCACCCGATCAGATAAATCAATGTCCACCACCATAAATACGAGCACTCAAAGGTGGGTGGGCCAGAGTGAAAAGAGCACTGGCAAGATACTATACTAGCACTCAGTGGAGTGCATGGCGAAGGCGGAAATTCCGACACAGCCCGTTTCGCCTGGACTGATGAGAAAAAATTCGGTAGTCAAATGGACAAGCACAAGGCATTCCCGAAAATTCGCGTGTCGCTTGTTAATCAGAGCGTATTACCGTTACCGTAGCCTCACCCGTAATTTCGGGTTATAAGGTTGGCCTCGGAGTGATCTAATATTGCTCGTTCTACCGGCACTATGGTCGACGAATGGCAAGTCGATGGAGACCATTGGTGTTGGATGGAGCCAATATCAAAAGCTCCTGAAGGGGGCTCCGTGTCCAGGGGCAGATGATCAAATCTTACGGTAACTAAGCCTCAACCGGCGTCAAACACACCCCCAGATGTTCCGCCACGTTTGCCAAGAGAAACTTGGCCCTCTCCAGCCACAGAAACCCTCGAGAAAATGTCACCGGCACCGCAGCCACCGATCATTGCCAGATTATGATACCTGCCATATGATAGGTGTCGGTCGTCGCCCATCACCTTCAAACCTAACACTGGCAGGACTTCCTCAACCCAGGCCCCCGGCTTGCTCTTGATCTCTTGTGTCTACTCGCCCCCACCTTCCAGTCCTATTCACTCCATATCTCTACAACACCCGTACCCTTTGGTTCACGGTAATCTTCCTCCCTTCCCATTCTCCCTTCTCGCAACAAAACTGGGATCCTCTGTGTTACAATATAAAAAAGCAAAAAATTTGTGGCTAGCTTGACAAGTACCCAGTAGGTACGAGTACACTGAGAAGCAGGATTTCTGCTCCACGCACCTACAAACTCCTCGAATCCTCCAGATCTCGCGAGTATTCCCCCCCCCCCCCTTCGGCCCCGCGGCCCTCGCATGGTGTAGTGCCATCACCCCACCCCTCGCACGATACCATTCAATCTACCACTACCCCCGCTTTACGCATTTTACAGATTGCTGATTCGATGGTCGGACTGCCTTGCCCTTAGGTTATTTTACTATGGCTACTGTTGTGAACACCTCTTCCATGTCAAGCGCCCAACGATATGCGCTACTCAGAACGCCCACGAGTTTTGGTCACCCGGTTCCCGGACCTCCCGCCGGTGCTGGTGGTGGAGGGGCAGAGTCGGGACCAGGAACCTTCGAGGTACTTGCCCCGCCAACCGATGATCATGGACCCGTCTCCGAACCCCCCTCGTCAAATACCACCCCTCCTCCTCCTGCGGCTCCGGCGGGGCCTATACAAGGACCGGCCCCCCCGCATAAGAAGACACCAAACGCCGGGCCAAAGCCGAAGAAGCCGTTGGATCGAATGGAGGTAAGAACACGATTATATGTGGGAAGGACAATTTCAGTCCTTCGGAATCCCCTTATGTCCATACAGAGGAATAGGGCTGACTGGGATGGCTCTGTTTCCTTTGAGCGACGGCGTTCAGGTCAACAATCTATTGACCGCAAAAATATCACAATTAGAGACTGATGCATCCTTGGAAGAAGAGGAGGAAAAGGCAATCTGTGCGATGACTTTCTTTCATAACCAGGAGGTGAGGGGGTACAGACGCTGACTGCTATCAGCCCGTGCTGTTCGTAGGGCAAATAAGGAACTGGCGGAACTTGTGTCCTCTCGGGAAGACCATCTAGCCAAGGTAGATGCCATCCAAAATAAGTATAGCGAACTCCTTTATGAAATGAAGCGCTTGGAACGGGACTACACCAAATCGCGCAAACGTGCGGATCAACTGCAAAAGGAGAAGGATCACTCGAGGTCTGAGATGCAGAAGGCGGTCTCCATGAAACATAAGCTTGAAACACTATGTCGGGAACTTCAGAAAGAGAACAAACGTATCAAGGTACGTACGAAATGAACGTCCGGTTGGGCGCGAAAAGAATTGGACCAACTATTCTGAGATTACTGAACTCCAGGAAACGCAGGACGAGAGTAAGAAACTTGCTCAGAATGAACAGCAGAAACGTGAAGAACTTTCCAACAAATTCGAGAATACGATTATGGAAATTAAAACCCGTATGGAGGAAGAAAACGATAGTGGCAGTCGTAAAGTTGACGCAGGGGTTGACGAATTGTATGCCAACACCCATCCCCAATCACCTTTTATATGCTTGTGCGAGGCACGGGCAACTGACATTTCTACATAAAGATTCAAAGCAAAGTTTAGGAGCCTTGTCGATCAATATGAGTTGCGTGAACTCCACTGCTATTCTCTTATCCGCACCAAGGAGCTAGAAGTTCAATGGAACCTCGCCCGTTATGAACAGCAGCGTAAGCAAGCTGAACAGGAAGCGCACCGTGCTAAGGCTCTACACGCTCAAGTTTCAACCTTTTCCCAAACAGAGACTGAATTAAGATCGCAGTTAAATATCTACGTTGAGAAGTTCAAGCAGGTGAGTCCTATCAACCCAGCCAGACCCCTTCGAGATCGATCAGCCAGGTTGAAGGGGTAGATAGCTGACTAGGTCTTCGTCTTTCAATATTTAATTGGATCTGCAGGTTGAAGATACCTTGAATAATTCCAATGACCTATTCCTTACTTTCCGCAAAGAAATGGAAGAAATGTCCAAAAAGACTAAGCGTCTCGAAAAGGAAAATCTAACCCTCTCTCGCAAGAGCGAGACAACGAACCGAAACCTCCTCAAAATGGCCGAGGAGCGCACAAAACACCAAAAGGAACTCGAAATACTCAGGAAAAAGAACTCCAAACTCGAGAACCTCTGCCGGGCCCTCCAGGCCGAGCGCACTACCCTTGATACTAAACTTCGCGATCGGGAAGGTGGCGGAAGAGGAGGCGGCGCCGGTGGCTCAGGCGAAAGAGGGGAACTACTGGAACAGGAGGAGGAAGAGGAAGATGATTCTGAAGGCAATTCTGAATACGAGGAATCGGACGGGTACGATGATGATGATGCCTCGGAGGATGGATCCGAAGCGGAAGAAGGGGAGGATGATACTGAAGATGAGAACCCCCAAGAAACGAAGACGGTGGCCCCCCACAAAGCCACCGGGGGAAATCAAAAGTCGCCGCAACACACCCGGAAAAACGGCGTTGAAAAGGTCTATCAGACCGCCAACGGCGTGCACGCCGATTAGGCTCGGGGAGGCCAGCTCATATCCCCGAACCTCCTCTCATCGCAATTGCTCCTTCTTTTCTGCTCTTGGACTCATTGAAAAAGCGACATGTGCCGGAGAAGAGAGATAGCACGGTATACTATGCATCACCATCCAGCCTACCCACCTTTTACTCGGTATATATGGGAAAGCGGTGTATTTGGCCTCATACTACCCCGTCTTTCGTTTCCTGTTTAACTTTTCTTCGCAATCTCTCCCCAATTATGTCTCAACCACAGAAATACCGAATTCCTGCTTGCTTTCTTTTTTCAAAAAAAAATGTACTCAACCGTCAGCCGTGTGTCCGCCTGCCAGTTACTAAGAAGATGGCGAGTTGCTGTATTGTCACAAGCTGGGTTATGATACTTTTTTCGGGCGATAGCCATGCTGTGGAATTACACGTTTAGAAAATAGCTTATACTGTACTGCAGGTGAGTGATAGACACAGTTCCACCGCAGTACAATTGATCACTATTCTGCGTTTCTTTCAAAAAAAAAAATCCAAAACCGGTAGTGTAAATACTCCGTTTGTGCGGATTGCAGGGGGGGGGGGGTTTAAAAAAAAGGAGGCTGAAAAAGCTATCTTTATTTATTTTCAGTTACTCCACGAGTACTGTTGAATTCTCACGTAAACCCGGCACACAAACAATCAACCAACTTATCACCACCTTACCATACATGACTGGTCGATACCATTAATTCTTTTTTAATTTTTTCGAGGTTGGGACAGCAGCCAAGCGCAGAACAGAACTCTTTCTAGAGCCGCAGGACCTTTGGGCAAACCCCACAGGAAGCGAAAAGGAACCCCACAGCACCATCTTACTCCAAACCTACAATTCCGCGTTCCGGTCACGACGTTACCCACCACGAATCCCAAATATCCAGTAGGGTACTAGTCAATGCCGCGAAAGCACAAGTACGGCATAGCTCAAGCCAGTCAAAACTTGCACCAGGAATTGTATGATGCTCAGCTACAATTTTAAAGTTTTGTTGCGTCCACAATCACTCCTGTAATTCAGAGGGGAAAAACCCGGCACTAAAGTTCTAATGATGAAAAATAACACCCGTTCCCCCCTTCCCCCTTGCAATTAGAGCTCCAGGTAACATTGTAACAAGGTTTGAAATCTTGTACTTTGGGGGAGAAAGACAAAAACATGTTATATCAAGCATATCCTGGATGCTTATTAATCGTGAATCTGTTATAACATTCTACTCGAGTACTTGGAAAACATAGTTTTTGTATCTTAAGGGTTTGATTTCTGATCAGTGATATGATGAGAAGCCAATAGCCTACCAAAAATCCAAATAACTAATAACAAAACCGAATTATCAAACCGCAGTATTATAGTGGTGGGGGATTTGAAAGCTTTAGAAATAAAAAGAACTTACGGTATGGTAAGAAATCTGTGTGATATCTTTTATCATAGCTAGACCTTCTAACTTACTCTCTCCATCGTATTATACCAATATATAAACGAATAGTTGTCCGGTATCACACCACCATTCGGATATGCCACGATTGTTAGTTGATCAGCTAGAGGTAGCAGACTTTGTGGTCGGCCACAGACAAAGCGCTCAATTAACCCAACCATAACATGATTAGATAACTGGAGCAGAACCAAAAGGTCCTATAATACCTACTAGCAGACCCAGGAGTAGTGCTCTCACATTACGCTTTAAGATATATTATTTGTCATCCTTGTCCTTTTCTATTTCCCTATACCTGTAGCATTATATAATACTATATAACTAACCACCAAGATATACCTATCACAAGATATCATATTCTAAGATATCATTACTGAACTTATAAAATAATTAATACTACCCATTTCCGAAAGAACCCCCTCCCCTCTATTCGCCCACCCGCTGACCCACCACGGGGAAGGGGGATCACCAGTACGGTACTATCATATACGGTACCATACCGGACCAGATTTTGAATTCCCCAGAGCTCCAGGAATTACAACTTACGGTATCCGTTTTACTGTATTGCACTGAACAGTAGACTATATATATATATGATACTCGCGCCGCTTGGACTGGTCCGGTAAGTAGTTACAGTAGGTAAATGAGTAGCTCATCGTACAAATAGGAGAAAATGTAACATGAGTTAACCCTTCCTTCCTTCCTTCCATCGTTCTCCCTAAAGCGCTCTACGAACTATACGATGTGAGTACTGTAGGTTTATCTCTTTCCCGTAGCTGTACCCCGGCTTCCAATAAGCATCCCATTGAATCTTGGGGGGGGGGGGGGGTGAACGAGTAAGTGAGCGATATACGAGAATTCATAACATTATGCAGATGTATGATCCGAGGGGATTGAAGGATAGTTTGGTTGGGTTAAAGACAAACTGACGGCCGAGTGAGAGGCTGTGAGCTTCAACATCCTAAAAGTTTGGTCGGCTGGGAAATTTGAGTGATTGTGGATGACTTCTACGACTAGCGATGACATTGCGCTCACCAACATACCAATCGCGCGATAAGGGCAAGTAGCCATTATTTAATCCTCCCAAACAACCCTTACCCACCGAGTGATACCACATGCACCCAGGCCATGCATGTGCGCAGTTTCAGAGTATTCAAAGAATCATTGGGTATTGTCAATTCGCATGGGCTGCTATCACAATCACGACTACCGATAGACTATACACTGTTGCCAAATTGAATCGTACAGGGCTGTACGTAAAAACCCCCAATTCACCCGTCGATCCGCCCGCCCGTCCATCGTGCACGTCGTGCGCGGTCGTACCCGTACTCGTACTCATAGAGAAGAATCGCGAAAAGAGGTTCTCGGCGGTTCCAATCCATGCTTGTCACATAAGAGTGACCTGTACAAAGGAAATAGAATACGCAAAAAAAAAAAAAGAATATAAGAAAAAAAAACAGAAACTCCAAAGAACAGTCTAAACGCCTGAACAAGAAACTGAAAAAGGTATTTAAAAGAGCCAAGTTAAAGGTTCGGGAGGAGGTTGAATCCGCGCGGTAAATTGGGAATTGAAGTTTGTTGGGGTAAAAGTGCGAGGCGATTAAAAATGTGTAAAAAGGAACCCCCCAGGATTGAAAGAAGAAGAAAAGCCGTGCGAAATAAAAGGTTCCGGGTTAGATAGGGTAATCAGATAGCGAGCGAGAGCGAGTGAGCAAGGGAGGCAGCGAGCGAGCGAGCAAAGTTTCCAGTCCTAGCATTCAGCCGTGGCTAGACCGTTCCCGCTATCCAATAGAATAGAATTCCTCCAACACCCCCCCCCCGGTCGCGCCCACGCCGAACTTGGATAAACCCCATTTCGTAGAAACGGGAAATTCGGTCATATCGAAAACAGAGCGGCCTATCGCAAACAACCAATCAGCTTCCATGTCACCTGGCTAATTTCAGCATCCCGGTAGGGGTATAATGGTAACTCACAGCAATCAAAGCTCCAAACAATGCCACTGCTGATGATAGGGTGTTCGCGCTACTGGGCTGGTCGCTTGTGCCTGTTGGTACGGCTGGGGTGGTGTATGTTGGCTCGGCGGTGCCGTTCGTGGTTGGTGACACTGGGAGTCCGGTTCCGCTGGCGGATAGTGCATTCGCAGTGGAGGCGAACACGGCGAGGAGGAGAACGAACATTAGTGTTCTGGTGAAGAGGGAGACGGGAGATGTTGAGGCAGCCATTGTATGGTTTGTGGGAATTAGAGGTAAGTATGGGTGTGGTGGATTGTATGGCGGAGCGGCAACTCGGGGGAAGACGGCACGATATATAGCTCGGGAGGGGGAACGAAGGCTGGCAAAATAGCGTAGTAGCGAGAGGTTTGTTTATCAAGCAAATCAACTGACTCGAATAAAATAATAATAAAAAAGTAAAAGGTAGCAAAGGGTGGAATACTCCTTTTGAAAAGCGAACGATGAATGAACCCAGCCGCGTACGATATCTCAATCGGAAGGAAGGAGAAAAATGGAAGAAGAAAGGGAGAAGGAAATTTCCCCTTTTTCTGGTTCAGGAGAGATGGAAGCAAAACGCTTGATGGGGGGGGAAGGAGAGGAAGAGAAGGAAGAGGAGAAGGAGAAAAAGCACAAACCCCGTCAAGGGTGAAAAGGGCGGGAATTATATGTGTGAAGGGAAATGGGAAGGGAAGGGAGACGTGCTGAGCTAGAAATCGAGCCTATTCAGAAAGGAGGAAAAGCGTGTGGTGCTGCTCAGTAGCGTTTGGCGGCCGGCCGCCGCAAACGGTGGTACGGCCACAGTACTATACAGTACGGTATGCAACAGGTCGGCACTCCCCTCCAGCAGAGCCTTCAGGTTTGGCTTTGGGCCAAGCCGCCACCCACTGCCCCTTCGAGTTTGGGAGAGGAAGAAGAAGCCCCCACGAATGGATCGAACACAGGCAAAAAAAAAAAAAAAAAAAAAGAAAGAAGGAAGGAAAGAAGGAAATGAAAAGCCAATCATTTCAGGGGCTCTTGTGTTGCCGTGTACGGTATTGGAGAGATATCGAAACTGAGAATTACCGTAAATAGATGGGGCACTGCTCCTTCTGGTAAACCTGTTAAGCCACGACCCTTTTTTTCCTTTTCTCCCTTCCCCCCCCCCCCCATACCGCGCTGTGGATCCGGCCCACTTTTCGAATTCGATAAATTTATACAGAACTCCTCTCATTGATGGTGATCCGCTGTCTGCGGGATGCCTCGACTGGCGTGAGTGAATGGAGCGGATTTTTTATTGACCACCTGCGGGGAAGATTTCCCTTTCCCTGATTGTTTAACCATCAGTGGTTTATGGCATTTCTCTGCTCCTGCTGGTCCAGCCCCCCCCTCCTGTGTCGTCTGTTTTATGACGGAGAATTATGTACGGTAGTACTCGTGCTGTTCCATCCGTGGACTACCGGCAGTGAAATAAATGGCAAATGCCTTGCCACAGATTATTTGCACCGGTCGTAAAACTTCAGCCTCTTTTCGCTTCGCCTTTGTTGTCACCCACTATCTACGAGTATCTACCTACCCCATTCTGCGCTTCCCACCTGCCACATAATACCAAGATATAAATAATAGCAGCAATACCGGTACAAATAGCCGTCGCAATCGATACTTTATGCAAGCCCAAATATTATTCGTGGCAGCAAGTACCTCAGCCGCCTCCTGCAGCAGCAGTATTTAACATACCGGTACCGTACTGTACCCTCCTCTGATCAGATTTCGCCCCGTCGTTGTTTCAAGTTTGTGCCCCACGCTCATCAACGGAAACACGGACCGATCGAGCGACTTTTTAACCTGTGCTGCGAGAAAAAGAGGAGGAAGGAGAAAAAAAAAGGGTAGGGAACTTGACCGACTTAGCCGAACATAACACTGTAATATCTGTTGTCTCCGATTGTCCGCGGTCTACCTGCCATCATAATCCTCCGCCAGTACCGTATTATACTCGTAGACGCCCGGGTGGTGAGGTCGGTGAGGCTGGCTCGACTGCCGTAAACTAACCGGTCATGAGAGGTTAATATCCAGCCACCAAGCGGAGCTAGGGTGGGACAGCGCAAAAAAAAAAAAAAGATGCTCACTTCCCGGGGTTTCTTCCAGCGGGTACCGTACTCGAGTTTGATGCTAGGTGTGGGGGGGGGTGCTGACAGGTAAAAGTGTCTTTATTTCATTTTAGAACCAATGAATCAAGAATTACCGTATTCCCCTCTATATACCTTTCTGGGTGGCATTTGTTCCCCTGCACCAGTAGATCCTAGTCCCATCATCATCATCCACCCGCCCGTGCAACCGATCGGGGGGGAGGGCATGATAGAGGGAGATGGAAGGGTTAATTCAGTTATACTGTTCTTGTCCCTCAGCAGCTATGAGCCCTCGTAGAGGGTGGTGGGGCCAAGTTAACGTCATAGTAAGATCTATGATGGTCCTGATGACAATACTCGCACAATATGGCCCAGCCAGCCGCACCGTACTAGTAGTCTACGAGTGCGGTGCTCGTACCATGGGTAACATACGAGCATTAACTTATAACCTGATTTCAGAATTGGCAGGCTGTCCGACGGGGACGCACAGAATTTGCACTCATCGTAAAGAACACCATGTGAATGCTGTAATTCATGCCGTTGTTGTCGTCGTTGGAGCCGCCGCCCCTCGGAGAAGGGGGGATATTTTAAACGTGTAGATGGGAGGTGACAAACATGTGCCGCATGCTACCTTATCATATCTTGAAACAACCCTATCCGCCCAACTTTCGTAACATGCTATCATACGGTAACATGCCGCACTCGTGCGGTGCAGGCATGCGAGTAACGCTACACCGAAGGAAATAAAAAAATAAAAAAAGGTCTCTGAGAGAAGATGCCCCCCCGAAAGGGCTTAAAACCTTTCCGTGGCATGGACGAGGAAGAGAGAGGGAGAGAATTCGGGGAGAAGGGGGAGAGGGGAAAGCGAGTGGGAAACTTGACCTTCCTTGAGTACAGTATTGTACTCGTACGAGCACGGTACTGTACCCGACATGCGGCGGTAGGCTGACGCAATCCCCACACCTCCTCTCATTCTCGCTCTCACCCCTCCGTGGGAACAGTACTGTGCTCGTACGAGTACCGTACAAAATGCCCCCGATCGAAATGTCACTCCTGCGAGGGTGCGATTCGGATCTGTGATATCGTATCGCAAAGATAGCAGGCCCGAATCGAGGGTAGGGCTTTCTCCCCTCCCTCTCCCCGAAAACTCAACCTCACTCACTCACCCAACATGGCATAGCACACATCACAATTACTAGTGCATGCCCTACCGCTTTCTCTGTCCTGGTGACATTTGATACGCAGTATAAAAGAAGGTAATAATAATAATAATAATAATAATAATAAAAGAGGGGTTCCCCGGCGTTGTGGGAGCATAAACTACTCTATCAACAGTTAATCAGTTGATTCAGTTGTTAGTCAATTCCTACCCGTATGATACCACGCCAGGAACGGGTCAGGTTATCAAGCGTGATAATAACGCGATGTCCGCATTTCCAGGATCACTTGAACATGATACCCCGATTGACGAAGAGGGAGAAGGATTGCGACCCATGGCCCGCAAGTCTGGCCGGAGGATGTTAGACTGAGGTAGTGATGAGTACTGTACTCGTACTCGTATCTGTCACGCCGCGATGTAAGAAGCCTTGCTCCCACAGTAGCCAAGAGGTCCCTGTACCCCGACTCTCGGAGGGGTTTTCCTTATCGCTATCACGATAGCTGCTCGGTATCTAAGACATGATAGACCAGTATTCTTTTTTTCTTCTTGCCTTTTCTTTCTGCCCATGCTCCTCCCCCTAGCCTTGCTAGCGCTAGAAGGGAGCATGAGTTAGCGTACTCGAGTAACTTAAGACGAATACTGGTAGAGTACAGGCACAGTACTGTACCGTACGAGCAAGGGTACGAAGCTGGACACTAGCTAGTCAGCCAGCCAAGCCTCACCCAAGCCCACAATCAGCTAGAATTGCGGTCTACAGGTACGAGCACTGTACGGTACTCGAGTAAATCTTTTCCATTCTATTAATAGCCTGTGAGGAGCAGCCAATAATCATTCATGTCAATCCGGATTCGCGAAGTGGGGGGGCGGGGTGGTTCTGATTGATAACGCGGGGTGGGTGGACTTCCCCACTGCTTTCCTGTCTTGCTCCGGTCTAGTACCGTGCCAGCACTGTGCTCTATTGTGCCGTTGAGCATTGCAAGTGAGTAAGCCGAGGTTGCGGGAGTGATAGGTACCGCACGAGGTATTATACTTATACCATCGTATTGGTGCGGATTTCCCGCTGCGACTTGGCTGGAGGAGGTTGAAGGAATCATGGACACCATGCTCCCCGATCTACGGTAACTTGCCGCTATCACTTTTCAACTTTTCAGGTTGGCACGATATCACATTCCTTCGGTACCCTAGTCGGGTATTCGTAGAGTTGAAAAGTGAATACAGCCCTAATTGCACCAACAGGCAAAGAAGCAAGCATACGATAACAGCTCTACAGTACCGTACTCTCTACCTTACAGCCCACCCTCCGCAACCAATTACCTATTAATCCACCTACTCACTACTAACCCATTCGGGCGACCTCAGCACTTGGACTGCCTGAACCTGCAGTGCGATACCGGTACTTGATCGGAATTTTCCGCATGCAGCGATCTCCGCAAGATTGCTGCCTGAAGGGGACTTCCTCCCACGCCCACCCGGATGTTGTGCAATACTGTACGAGTACCGGCACTATGATACGAGCACACATTTCCAGACACCCATGTTCAAGGGCGATACAGCACCAAGGCATTAGGGGGGGGGGTTTAAAAAAAAGGCTTAAGCTTGGCCTGCCACGCGTCGGCCCCAATGTCGAGGGGGTTTTTTTGCCGTGGGCATAGCCTGGGGTTGGATCCGGAATATGTGTGCATTCTACTCGAGCAGAGCACTACTGTCCTGTTCTGTACTAGTACAGGACTCTATTGCTTTCTTTTTTTCTTACACTCTTGAACAGGCTGGACTACCTACTTGTATTTTGCCCCCGCTCGGGTGAAAACCGGCGTGCTGTGGGGCGGGGCGATCTATGGTACCTTCGTCTTCTTTTGAGAGAGAAAGGCTTCCTCTGCCCAGCTTTGAGCGGATGGGTGCAGTGAGTGAGATGGGTGGGCGGCCTTGGCGGCCTGTGAAGGCTATTTTGGGTATACTCGAATAGGATACGGCAGTGCCCTACGGTGTAATGCTCAGTGGTGGGAAAAACCTAACCCTGGGGTGATTACGTGGGATTTTCGCTGGCATGGATTAACTGATGTATGTTTCACGATGGGATCCGGCGCCGGTATGGGTTTCATACGACTAATTTCTGGGGAGGGCTGGGGTTGGCACACCAGTGATAGACTACCGTACCTTGTGGACGGAATGGAGTGAATGGAGGGTGCATGGATGAAGGCATTGAAATTTCGAGTGAGAGTGGGTGATTGAATGAGGTGGGTTAGGGGAGTATGATGTATTGGGTTGCGCTCTGAACCTGTTCTTTGAGCAAACAAACAAACGAGCGGCTGAGTCAGCTACCACCCCCCCACCTGCCGCTTCAGTACTGGCATTTCTTCTATCGTAATATCATACTAGTTACGATATCTCCGTAAGGTGCTATCGCCTCCAGGCCCGCCAACAACCAACCACCCATGTCTGGCAACAAATCATTAACCCCCCTGCTACCCCCCTTATACACCCTCCACAAACAAATACTCGAGACGAGCCTCTAGTCAAACTACGGGCACATCCACCGTCTAACCCTCACAACCCCGTCAGCCCCCACGCCGACCCCCTATATTCTCAAGTAGGTTCAACCCCCGCTAGCCTCCTCCTCTTCCCATCGTACCACCTCCGAATCACATCTTCGGAAGCTAATATCCTACCGGGCAGAACGCTACTTCTACGCCAACCTCTCTTGTCTTCTCCATCCTTCCGGCTCCACAAAAGTAGCCTCTCTCTATGACATTGCGGGGGGGCATGTGGATGATGCACCTTTACTGGAGGACTTGACCGTGGCCTTCCCGCTGCGTGCCCTGCATACACTCCCATTGAGCAAGACCCACGCAGTGATCCGCTGACTCGCGGGTTTCCATGCAACGTTCTAGGGCCACAAAGATGTCCCATTGATCCCCCCACCAAATGAAGTCCCGGAACCGGACATGGTGAAAGGGGTTTGGGCATAGGGCGGGTACTGGTACCTCGCCACCCGCCACGAGGAATACGCCTCTTCGGAGGATGCCCAGGAGGAGTACACCTGGCTAATCCCGTACGCCCTGCCCGTCGCCGAGAGACTCAAAACCGAGGCTCTCGGAAGAACACTGCTCCACGGCGACGTTAAGGGTGAGAATATACTATTTTCCAAAGCCTCCTCCCAGGGCGGCGCCCAGAAGGAAGAGAAATGTGCCCTATATGATTTCCAATACGTAGGCTCCGGCCTGGGCGTTGTGGATTTGGTATATTTTCTTGGGACGACGATGGACGAGAGGGATTTGAGGGGAAATGAGAATGAAGAGGCGCTGCTAAGGGTTTACTTTGAGGAGGTGGAGAGAGTGCTTCGGGAGAGGGGGGTCGGGATGGGGGGGTATACATGGGAGGTTTTAATGCAGCAATGGGAGTGGGCGGTGGTGGATTGGATGAGGTTTATGGCGGGGTGGGGATGTTGGGGGAATTCGGGGTGGGTTGAAAGGAGGGCTAGGGAGGGTTGTGCTAGGTGGGGGGGCTGTGATGTCCTGTGCACCGGTAGATGTTTTCGTAGAATTTCTTGAGGGGTGCGTAAATTCTCGTATCAAAGGTGACCTAGCTGATATCATATAAACCTCGCCGCCTTCATGCCCCCCACCCTTACGAGAAGCCAGTGCCCAGCAGACACCAGATACTCACGACCCATCACTCGGAAGCACTCCTCCAAGGTATTGATATTTGCCACCCCCGAATAATTTCGATGGCCATGGTATCATAGTCTGGAACCCTGAAATGGGAGGAGGGTATTCGTTCCCCCGCACCCTACGGCGCTCATCACCTCGCCGGGGCACACAAGTGCACCTGTAGTATGATACCATAGGCACTTTGCAGCGTAGCCTTCTCGCAGAGAGCTGAAGGATGGCCTCAAGGCCTCCCCCCTCGCCCCGTATATTCGGACATATATATGGCCTGAGGATGGGTTACGACGAATTGCTTGGGTAGTTTCGGTGATGCGGCCGGTGGGCCTCCGGCGTATGTATGTCTGGATATGTACCTATATGATAGGAGCGCTTTTGAACCTATGATTCCGCGCCGCTGAGAATGATGGTGGTGGTGTACTTGGCTGGTAGTGTCGTGGGCATGATACAATGGTGCGCCCCAGGCGCAACGCTTTACTGTGCGGTACGGGCGCTGTGCTCGTGCTGGGGGTTATGGCTGTATCACTCAAAGCTGCCGGTGGCAGCACGTAGTCTAATATAACGGCACCGGAAGCGATACCAACCAAAGAAATTGCTGATGGAAAGGCTGCGGAGACTGCCAGCGCGTGCGTGGATAGCATGGTGCGGGCGCTGCCGGTTGTCCCGTCCCGGTGACATGGGGTCGTCTCCATGGTGCTATATAAGTTACAGAGTCATGGTGGAGAGATTTTTTGCTGGAAGTGTCGGCAGCCATGTACGGTATCGGAGTTGGTGAATGCTAACTAACTTGTGCTATTACTGCTACTAATATACACGAACTCTGCCCCCCCCCCCCCCCCCCTAGATTGATGGTGTGCCGGTGGGGTGAGGGCGAATGTCCGCTTATTTGGGGGGATTTGGTAGGGTTAGAGTGAGTAGAAATTTGTGCCATTTACTTTTGGTGCTGTACTCGCGCTCTCGCGCTTGCTTACTTGTCTTGCTGTGTTTTGTGTGTGATCGTGGGTGGGGAGATGGAAAGTTTCCGGGGTCCATAGCCCCCGGGTAAGTGGAGGTACTGTATTCTGTAGGATTTTGATATGTAGGTGGTGGATATTAGGGGTTTTGGTTTCTGTATGTTTGAGAAAGCTTGGCACCCGGTTGGGTGAACGCATTGTGTGCGCATGTTACCCTATAGAATATATATATATATATATATTTAAAAGGATTGGTTAATGGGTGCTCGGGTTTAGACGCCGTAGTGGGGTCCTGGACGAAGGCCCGGTAAATCGGCCGACACAATTTAAGGAATTTTATCGAGTATTCTCAGTGAGCATTCAATCCAATGCCCGGGACTTGACAAAATCGTGAGCAATCAATCCAATTCTTCCTCTAGCTACACTCAGCGCTTTTGTTCCTGGAAAACCTTATAGAGTGGTGTCTGGCCGGGCAAGGAGAGCTTGCGTTGCCCGTCTTCCCTGCCCCGTGGAGTTGCGAATACTCTTCTCGTCAGTGTTTGCTCTTACGAGAGCGCTTCCCCAGGGCTCTCGTCCGTCCTCTCCCTATTTACACTTTTCAGCCCTCTCCCACTCCTGCACTGGGCACCCAGCGTTTTCTTTTGCCCCTAATCTCTTCGACTGTTACTCCACTTTTACGCCTCTACACTAGCTGTGGGACTCTAACAGCTTCAGTCCGAACCGCTAATCTGACCTTTGGGCCCCTACGGTTGATTAAGAAGCCCACATTTCTATACTGGAAAATCACTCTTTTGCAGGAATGCACCTGTGGCGATATTCTACAGTCGGCAGCGTGAGTAACAATAATAGATGGACGGAAGGCTGCTTGTTCGGTATAGACATATTCGATACAAAAGGCGGTTCTCAGCAAGGGAATGGCTAGCTATTTATGAATATGTTGCGGACGAGGAAGGCCAAACCCACCACCTACGCCGACTTCCCTCGGCGCCTGCATCACCGAGGTAGGATGCAAAATGTCAATGAAGATACAACAAGGGGAATTGGAAGGAGAATATTCGGAAGAGGAACTATAACATCCATCCACAAGCCTACCTGCCTTAGCCAGGGCCGTGCTCCCCAACGGAACAAAGACTAGAAATGGGCATTCGGGAGAACAAAGAAGCCCACTTATCAATGGCATCCCATTGGAAATTCTACCCTATATAGTTCCTGTTGAGTTGCCCATACCTGCACGAGTATACACACTGAACCACGCGCGGCGGGCATCCAAAATGGTAGGAGAGGGTATAGACGAAACGACCAAAAGCACAGACAAGTTTCACACAAAAGCCCCTCAGCAGTAAGCGACATTGGTCAACTCATGGTGGAAATTCCAGGAGGGGACAATGAATTAGATAATTGTTCCTTTGAATCGTGTTCTCACCCCCATTGGGAATATACTCTGGGTTAAGGGAAGTGCGAAGGTGTTGGCCTAACCCGAATTGAAGGTCTACCTGCTGTACTATCACAGATTTTACGGCTAGAACATCCAAGTAGCTTGTTATCAGGCGAGATTTGGGAGGAGGCTGTTCGTGGAGAGGTTCGGGCTTCAGGGCTTGATTTGAAAATTGATTTTCCTTTCCTGATTCTAGGGCTCGCTCTAATGAGCAATTCTAACGTTATGGCCAAACCAGAAGCTCGAATCGGGAACATGTCGCCAAGTGCTCAAATCTGCGCAATCAACATGTGGGGGGGGGGTTCAAGGACGTTTGGCTGCGGCACCTCCTTCCTCCAGACGGCTATCACTCGGTCGTCCCCAATTTCGAATAACCAAAACCCCTCCAACCTTTCGGTTCAGGGTTACACCTCCTGTACGAGGAGAAGGGCTCCTGATGAATCCGGTTCTCTATCGATAAACTGTCTTGTTCGGCACAAAAAGTGCGAAGATGTGCTATATCATAGCCACAAGGCATGCAATGCACGATAAGTTTACTTTGTCCCCTTAGTCCAATTAAGAACCCAGTTTCTTTGACAAGTGGTAGCATCTCTTTCCAATCATAGAGCATCACTCATTGACCGGCAACCCCATGCAGTGCACGTGGATCAACGCTATAATCTGCCATTTTTGGAGAGTTGGTGATCCGAGTCATAGGAGTCGAGCGCCTATAAGCTTTGGTGGTACTATGGGATGGTCGGGGCCCGAAATTATTGATGCAACTCGTAGGTATGTCTATTCATGAGTAATAGCTGCCCCCCATACCGATAGCGAGAAGCTCATTAAACCCATGGCCCGAGTTACCCATACCCCCCGAAAATTCAATATCTGGGATGCCGCACTTATAACTCGGCCCATCGAAAAAAAAAAATCAATTTCGAGTTGCAGAAACCCCTCAGTTGTCACCTCAATGCCAACATTACCCTTGGGGGTGTCAAGGCTCCTCACAGCCTTGCACGCACACCCCTGCACTTAATGAATACGTGGCGTCATCTTTCGGGTAGCACGGTGGGCACCAGTAGCGAGTGATTTCCCTTGAAGGTGTTGGCGGGTGCACTGAGATCTAAGGGCCTCATTCCCCACTCCGCCACCCGGGCGGGATGGACGCATGGGGAGTAACCCATTTGGAACTCTTAGGCGGTCGGGTATCCACTAGTAGTGTGCTCGTGCTCGACGGCAAAAATTTGTTGCAATATTGGCTTGTGCCATGAGAGGACAAATGGCTTTACCGGTGCCTCACGCTGCAGTGGGCAATTCCTGCAAATCTCCAGAATCAGACAACTGATGCTTGTTCCGGTATCATTGGATTAGGTGAGCTTTGGATCACTAGTCCACGGGGAGGTGCGGAGACATACGGGTATCTACATTACCGTCCTAGCAAAAACCTAAGTAATACGGAGATGAACCATCCCCAAGTTTTGCTGGACTGCGGAGATGCCTCCCCGATTTCCCTTAAAGTCGCCATTAACCCCACCCTTGCGTCGAGGGAAGGCTGGTAATTCAGCTCTAGACAGGGGCTTCTCCAATGTCCCAACCCCAGCCATAAACACTAGCCCTTGCCATTGCATCATTGAGTAATATATGGAGCACTAAGGGTGCATTATGAATGAGGCGAGTGATATATTATGATTCTGAGGCAAACGTGCTCTCCTCCAAATGATTGCTGCGCAATCATTCAGCTGGTTTTGGGCGGGTATTGTATCGAATCCACACATCCAACCCGCTGCTCAGGCGCACACCTGTCCGGTGACCATCCGCCCCTGGAATGCTCAATTGGGCAATGTGGTCCTCCCTGTGATCCGAGAATTGACCCGAGAATCGATCTGGGCAGAGCCTTGTGCGATCACCAGTTATCACTCCCGCTCAACAATTGGATTGTTTCATCCGGAATTTTTTCGCACATTCTTTTCCCGAAAGATATCTCGAATTACATAACCGATCAAGACCTCCGGATGATGATCAAGGCTCAAAATGAGGGGGTCATTTCACGGTAAAAATATGTTGACCCTTCACCAAAGCCCGATCCAAGTTCGGTCAATAGCGAATTCTAACGCTTTTATGGACGAACCCCCCCCCATACGGTTATTCCCGGTAGGCTTCCGTGCCTTAGAGCAGAGTCTCCGACTCCCCCCAGTGATAGTTCCTTGAGGTTTGGGACAACTCCAGGTGGCAAGCTCCATGTGGCCCTATGAGAATTTATAATCATGCGCCCACTATTTACGTATTACTAGTAGGTAAGCACATTCGTAGCACCTGGAATGACCCACGCGGTAACTATGATGAAAAACCCAGCGTTGCCCGTTTCAACCTTTTTTTTTCTTTTCTTTTCAACAGAGAGGACTGCTGCCAAACCAGTCACAGAGAACCCGGAATGCATTGTCAGGGCAGGAAATTAATGAAGAAAAAAAAACCAAAAAAACTCCCTCAGCCCGATTCCGCTGTGGAACCGGCGATCTCAATTTTTATAATCTCAGTGGATAACGTGCCCTAGTTGCCATCATGTGAGACAATATCACAAGAACCCCCTAATTATGCAGTGCCCTGTACTTGGGTAGAGGAAGAAAGGAGGGGGGAAAAATAAAATTCAGAATTTGATCTGTAACTGTATGTATGTATGTGTTTTTTTACGTAGCACGCTGCAGGATGCATGAAGCCCCTTCCTCCCTTTCCTCCCTCCCTTCCTCTAGAGAAGATGAGGCACTACATTAAGAGGGAGCCTAAGGCTATCGGACGGCTAAGTTAGTTGGATCCGTCCATTGGAATTCTAGCGTGGGCATCAAGCCAACATTCATTCAGAGGAAGGAAGAAAAGGTAAAAGGTGAGAAATTGTCAAACATCCATCATATCATACCTACAGAGCGGGGGAAATCAGGTACTCGCATTATACTCGAGTACTCGTACTATACCCAACGGTGAGGCTCCCTATTCGTTCTGCGATGATGTGGGAAAAAAAAAAGAAAATTAATGAAAAAAAAAACAAAAAAAACAAACAAACTGCCGGGGGGGACGCCTGCTGCCGAAATCCGGTTGGCGATTTCCCGGAGCTGTTCCCTTGTGTTACAGATAATTCGAGGAGGGCCAAGGGATGGGAGACCTCGAGTGCTGTACTCGTACTGTAGGTATCCAGGGTCTGGTCTTGTTTTCAATACTTAAATCCTGATCCTGACGACGACGGGCGATCTTTATCGATTCATGATGATGGGGCCCGGGACTATGAAATTTATACTCATTGTATATTATCATAATAATAATAAAAATAGTAAATTATTGTTATTGTTATTGTTATTTTTTTATTTTTTTTTATTTCCCTAGTTCCCTATTTCTCCATTTCCCCCCTCCCCCCCCCTTTCCTATAGTACCGTACTCGTACTTTGTACCAACAAGGGGCTTGCAGTACTTGGGTGATCCGGGTCTACTCGTATCTTGCCCATCTATCCATCTACCTTCGGAACCTGCATTGGGGGGGGGGGGTTGCTTTTCGCGAGGAATTTCGGTTAACGTAAGGGGTAATAACTGTAGGCGAGAGAAGTGGAACCGACAGACTCGAGCTGAGATGAAGGGAGTACGGTACTTGTACAGTACAGTATAGTATCATAGAATACCGGTAAGGAGGTATAATACCACAAGGTATGTATGATACAAAATGGGAGTGGGGTAAGGGCTACTAGTACTGTACAGCACATTCTGGTAACGGTATCTATCATACAGCACAGTACCGTACCCATTGAGTATGGTAGGGGGGTAGGGAGTGGAAAGGGATAACTTTTTTTTTGTTTTGCTTTTTGTTCAAGCTATAGTACCGTAATACCTTTTCCTACTCGTAGAGTACCTTAAGAATACCGGTACAGTACTATCATACTACGTACGATACTCTGTCTCTCTGCGGTGCCTCCGCTGCGCTTTATCCCGGATTCCTTGGGTCATGTGTGATATATATATATATATATATATATACAGTAGGACATCTCCGACACTCTCATACTTTACGAATCCCAACATTCGGTATTCACCTAGAGTACTACAACAGCCATAAACGATACGGTACTGTACAGTACCGCGCTGTGCTGTCCCGTCCTGTGCTAGCACCACTACCCATCTGTAAATATAAATAACTAGGTAAATCCCGTCCTTCAGTCATGATGATATCATATATCATATCATAACCCCGTTTATATACGCACCACGGCATTAAAAGTACAAGTATGATTGAAACCCCTACCCGTGCAGAGTATTATAATGACGTGATTCTATCTGGTGTAGTACGAGTACAATACACGGTGCTGTATAGTGCAAGTACGGTACTGGATGGAAATGAGAAAAAGGGTAATGAATGGTATGATGCTTCTTCCTCCTCCTCCGGTGTGGTATAGGGGGGACCGGGTGGAAGAAATCAAAAAAAATCAAGGAGAAGGGGGGGGCTTTCTCTTGATCATTATTCTGTAATACCCGTACGGTAAGGTACTGTGCCTGTGCTGTGCTCCTAAGTACAAGTACTGTCGTAATATGGTTACAATATGATTCCGCTACGTTGCGGTAGAGTGCCCGGTACCTATAACGAGCGAAATGGTATGATACGAGTACAGTACAGTACTAGTTATAACCACCAACGGCAGTCCAAAGTCAAGAATTCGCGGGACATTGTAAAGAGTCGGGGTACAGTACAGTGCCATACCATTACCGCGTCCGCGTCCCATGCTTTTTCGTATATATGTATGCTTCATACCTTTTTTCCCCTCGCCATGGGCATGATACAATATTCTAACAGTGCTTGGACAGCGAGCACAAGTCCGTACACCTGCGTTGATTTTTTTGGTGGTTGGCGCGAATTCCGGTCTCGAGGTCGTCTGGACGGGGTACGATACTGTGGCACAGTGCTGTGCTCGTTGTTGGTATGACTTATTCTTTTCTTTTTCGTGGTATAGTGCCCGGCCCCCTTGAGGAACGGGGCTTGCTGTCGATTGCATGAATGAATGTACTCGAGTACGTATCTACATAGACGGGAACATAAATTGGACGGTGCTGTACCCGTTTCTCGTCTTACAGGACATCACAGCGCGGTACTGCGATTTTTTTGAGACAAGTTGAAGCCCGTAGACAGAGTATCATACCAGTGGAGTGTACGAGTGAGTTACCGGTATACGGTATGATACACACCCCTGTGATGGATATAGGCACGGGTGGGTAGGTCGGGGTTTTTTTGCCATGATGTGATGCCATGGCTTGCAGTAATCTCGTGGTAGCCCCTCCGCCGCCCCCCGCCCCGGAAGGTGAGGGTGTGTATGATATTCGCGGATGCATCGTACTTGTACAGTACTCGAGCGCGCACAGTATGAACTACGGTAAGGTATTCAGATCTTGGTTATATCCGTCGGGGAGGGGGGGATACAAGTACTCGAGTAGATATAACTGTGCCGTAGTGTTTTGCGGGCACGTGGGAGGTGCCAGCTCGGTGTGGGAGAGTATTATTCCGGTAGGAAAAGAAAGTATAAAAAAAAAAGTATGAAAATAAAAATAAAAATAAGAACGGGTTCACTTAAGAATACTCGTAATTTTCTGACCTTTGTGAACACGACTACTCGAGATACTAGTACGCAGCGCCAAATGCATGAGGCTCCGGCCGATTTTTGCCCATATGCAATAGCAGCTGTGTTCGCCCAAGTCAAGAGAGAGAGAGAGAGAGAGAGAGAGAGCGGGGGGTGATATTTACATTTTGGCCGGGGGGTTACTCCGCCCGTGCTATGAGATGTATGATATGTCTCTCTTTCTTTTTCTTCCTTTTTCTTCCTTTTTTCGTCCCCTTCGCTGTGAATGTGGAGCCCATCTTATAACATTGGTCAAAGTTGAGATTGTATGCTCCTGTGTGTGCTGAATTCCCTACTGTATATGTGGATTTGAACACAATAAGTTAAGCTGGTCTGTATCCAAATGGACCGCCTTTCTCTACCCGTCCTTCCCGTGCGCTGCGCTCACTCCAGCTAGGAGGGAGGGGGGGAGGTCTAGAGTCTTTGCGATGATGTGCAGATCTCCCCCCCCCTCTAAGGAAAAAATGGACAGGACAAATTTAGTACTCATATGTCCCCTTCTCTTGATTAAGGTGCGGGTGGAAAATAATTTATCTATCTCGCAGGGTAAGAGATTTCAAATCTTGCGCAGAAACAGTAGCAAGTGAAAAGATAAGCCTCTAAATTGAGATAACATCTCAAGGTACAGTTGTAGCCGCTGCACGATGGGGTAGTTATCTAACGATCTTCGTATCCAAGGATTTGTTTGGTTGAAACATCCTGCCACCACACCACCAAAACTTAGTTCACATCCCCCGGGCCAACTTTTCTTACTATATCGTAGATAAGGGCCAATAACAGCAACAATGACAGCGGTGCACAGTAAGTAAATGGTAATTCAGCACTTGTGATAAGGCACATAGTTGATATTCCTGAAGGAATATACTGGGCCCTGGTGGAGGACAAGAGTGAGAGTGAGAGTGAGAGCTGGACCCAGATAAAGGATAGCCCTTAACAGCTGATGACCTGAACTCAATTCTACCATCGGTCGCGCATTTCAGACGGCGGACGTGTTTCCCCGCCAAGATGAGCGGGGCCGTAGCAGGACTTTAAGCGATCAACTGATGTCCCTATCATAGGGGGAAGGACGCACAGGGGGCAACTGTGACATCTGTAAGGTGCACAGCAATGTTCTGTGCCGCAAGCGTTCCGGGAACAAATCGGCCTTAGAAATTGCATTATCGGACCAGACACTTGTGGTCGTCAGTGAATTGCGGCTCCGTCATACTGTATACTAGGCCAATCATGTTGGCAGGAGATTTACGTACCGGAGTTCCAACCTCTTTTTTTTTGTCAATCTATTTATTGATTTTTTTTATAGTGCGGCTGCGGTTGGAGATATCTGACTGCAACCCAATGTTTCTGCATCCTGCATTCATTGGTCACAGTGATGACAAGTCGGTGAGGATTGTATCCAGAATAAGCGGGAAAATTCCCCGAGTAAAGGACTAGACTAAACTGGAAAATTGCGGCGGTTGCCTTAACTATGAAAAGCCAGACAGAGAGAAAACAGGATCAAACGGTTGATTGGCTATATAGAGGTGCGAGGCCTGGGATACCATAACTCCTGCCTATACACAAGGTTGACAAGGGCAGTTGCATTGAGTGTAAAAAATGTCGATGAGGGAAATAATGACAGAGACACAACTATCCTGGCGCAGGAAGGAGGGGGAAAAAAAGGGAAAAAATAGAAATCCGGGCAAATCCGACCACTAGTACAGTATTTTATCGCCCGTGGAAATTTGGAATGGTCCTGCTTTGTTGCACGGACACATCTCCATAGACACCAGTAGATTCGATTTTGCTTTAGATAGAGGGCACAAAACGATATTATAGGAGGTGCGGCGGATTGGATTAAAATGCGTAGAACGGCGCATTCAGATGAATGGCTAGTACTCCTTTTGGAAAGTATTTTGAATAGGCTTCGATGACTGGTATGATTAGTATGCCATGCGCCTGAGAGGATCCAGGCCATCTTTGGGAAACTTACTTCGACTATATGAACTCGTTAGGAAATCGGAAAACATCCAATAATTCACATCAAAAACGGAGGAAGGGAATCATACTGAATTTCTTTAATTGCTCATCTAAGCTTGCGAGGTCGTCTTTACGCTTCTTGTTCTCCGCGATAAGCGCTTGCTTCTTGACAAGAAGCTCCTTTCTCTGTTTTTCCAATTCCTCACGTACAGCTTTCTCGTTGTTTAGACGCGCAATCATCAGATTGTGTGGGTCATCATCTTGGTGTTCGGGATTCAGAGCCAAGAACTTGCCCTCAGAGACCAAGGGCAGAGATGTGTACTGATGTCTTCGGAATTTTAGCCCGGGTCAAGTGATGGTCGCAATAATAATGTAGCAGAAAAAAAAGAAAAAAAAGAAGGGAAGAGAAAGGGTCAAACATACGGGAATTCTCTACAAGCAGTAATCTCACCGCGAAGGTGGCGTTGTTCATAGTAGAGATTTTGGAGTTGTAGATGAAGACGATCGACTTCCCGGCGGACTTCGCTGGTAACCTCTTTGGCCTCACGAGCAGACATGATCGCTGCCCGATGCAGCCCCTTGATTTGGGTCAATAGTGCATTGAGTTGTTTCTGGGTCCGTGATCTCTCAATCCGCTTATCTTCAGGGAGCTCCACGCCCGTAGCGGATTCAATTGTTGTGAGAATTTGATGGCAGAGCAGGCGTGTACGGTCTACCACATCAAGACACTCCCGGAGGGCAGGGTCCGTGATGATTTTTTGGATAGTCATGACACACTTGCCTTTCTCTGGGATCAAAATGTGGATGGAGTTTTTTTCCTTCGAGAGTGTGAGGCTGTGGGTAGTGTAGGGCAGATGCGTGTGATGGTTGTTGGTGGAGCAAACAAGCAGGCGGTGAGTTCGGGGGGAACCAAGTCGCAGGGACAAACCCTCGGTGTGCTTGGCGACCAAACCTTCCGGCTCTGGCTCCTCAACCCCAGTTTTGAAGTCCTTCTCCCAATTTATTCCACACTTACTTGTCCCTACCAATACCCTACCGCGCCTCAGCAACCAAACTACGCCGTGACAGATAGGTGTGTAAGATATTACTACTTCCGGCGCACTAAATACAATGCAATACATTCGCTTCTTGAAAACTCCCCGGTTTGTTTACACCAACAACGAGCGCTCTGGAACGGTATTTGCCCTGGTCACTATCGCATCAGACCTAGGGGAGTCCTTTTTCTTTCAGGATGTGGCCTTGACTGTCAAATTACTTGACGGCAAAAGCTGGACATCTTTGCCGCTTTCGGTTGCTAGGTATACCTGGAAAGCTGGCATGAGAACCTTGAAAATTGAGTTGGACCTCATCAACCGTAAAGAAATGTTCTACCGTACTGTTGTACTGTCCGTCTCGCCCGAACAAACTCCCGCCGATGACCTTTCGCAATCAGGAGCTGCCGGGTCTTTAGTTCTCTCAGCATATAGCTCTCCATTTGGACTTTCAGGCGGTATCCGAGCTGAGGGATATGTCGAGCGGAGATTGATCATCGGCCGGAAAAAGGCTTTGTCGGTCTGGGAAGAAACCGGGGAGAGCATTGCCAGGCATATCTGGTGTGTAAAGTAACTAGCCCGGTTTTTTGATGAACAGACCAGCTCATGTGCACAGGGACGGAGGACTTGCATTGACAGAATATCTTTCACAAAACGCTCTCACCTCCGAGATCAAGAATGAAGACAAAAGGCTGGATATCCTCGATAAAATTCTCGGGCTACCCGAAGGCCTCGAAGTCCTGGAGCTTGGCAGTGGGTAAATAATTCCTTCTAATATAATATGTACTGATAAACTTACTTTGGAAGGTGCGGCATTGTTGGGTTGGCATTGGCCTCACTCCATAAGAATTGTCATGTCACCTTAACAGATTTGCCTCTTGCAGAAGAGATCATCGTTAAAAACATCGAGTGTTCAGGCTTGCAGGGAAACATAGAATTTAAACTGCTTGATTGGGATCAAAACATCCCGGAAGATCTCACGACCGGGCCGATAGGGCTTATTGTAGTTGCGGATTGCACATACAACGCCTCCAGCGCGCCCTCTTTGGTACGTGTGCTCGCAGAGCTCTCCAGGAGGTCCCCCGATGCGGTTATTTTGCTGGCACACAAAAGGAGACACGATAGTGAAGACGTGTTCTTTCAATTGATGGATAAGTCATTCCGGAAAATTGAGCAAATTCAACGCGCCCTAGGCACCGATCCCAACGAGGAAGCCACCAATGTGGATATTTACATATTCCAGTCACCTTGATACTTGCCTATCCCCCTGTGATCACTCCCCATCTCTAATCCCCCCATATCAGTCTATCACGCAAACTCCAGAAGGTGGAATTTTCTTATGTTATCATCATGTATAATTCTTTGTTACCAGTATTCGAATCGAATCCAGTTCGAATGACAAGGCTTCGGTACCCGAGGACCGGAACCGTTCTACCCGCCCCGTGAAACACGGCAGATGAGGAAGGCCTGTTTGGCGTCATCAGGGTACTGGTATGTAAGACAGCATGAGAGCGAACTACTCGTACGGTACTGCACTAGTACCGGTACTGTACTGCTTGCGGTGCTGGTTCTGCAGCCTAGCTGCGGGTCAAGTGCACTTCTCACAAAAGAAACCTTTGGCTCAGGCTTCCCATGGGTACCATAGATACAGTGCAGTAAGGTACATGCTCGTACAGCGCGAGAAGAGTGGTGTCACATGGATATGTGCCCTCTGGAGCAAAGTTCTTGCGGCTCCGAAGGCGCGGAGTAACAACGAACATGCGCTGTACGAGAATGGCCATCGCCAGTGGCAGCGATGCGCTGGTTTGGAGTGAGCCCTTTTAATTGCGGGCGAGTGGATATCCATCCCTTCCAGCACTAGACACGACACATAGCAAAAATGTTCTCCCCCGCCATTCGAGGGATTCCCTGTGAGGTTCCGGTTGGTTGGTTGGAGATGGCAGAGAAAGGTCCCTTCTCCCAGATGAATTGGGATGCACCCTTTCCGGACCATACTCTGTCCGGCGAAGGACGACGACACTCCAATTGAACCCGAAATTTGACCCTTATTGGATGCCGGAGTCTGCCTTCCACGGATTCCAGCATGCTTTATTTATTATCGAGTTCGGTTTTCATGCTCTGCAAGTACGGTGCGATACCGGAAATATTTCCTGATCCCAGCAATAGGGGGTGACACAAGATGATTGTTCTGGAATATTCATTCTGGGAAAAGTAATCAATAAACCTCCCAACCTGCCCTCCGCTAATTTTGGAATGGTAGCACGACCACCGCGAAGCCACGTGAGCAAAAGGACCTGATCGCAACTCTTAAAGGAACGTCTGAGGGCTTCGGCCGAACTTTCTCGACAGGGGGAGGCTTCGGCACAGAGAAATACTACAGTAGGAAGGAGACCGGAGAGAATAAAACCCAAACGGGGGCGATTCATGTTCATGTCTGTGGCGAGGGTAGGGGTTTGGGAGGCTGAAAGTGACAAAATCTGCAAGGGCGATCGTGGAACTTCTGGAAGCCAATTTCTTGGTTCGGCGACCAACCTACGGTACGGGTATGAATTTTGCCTTACAAAAAAAAAGGGTTTTCCGGGCTATCACACAATTCCTTTTTATTACTCGCTAAGGGCTAGATGGCATCGTTTGTGCACAACCCTTGTCTGCCCTTTTACCCCTTTCGTTGCAATTCGAGGGGGGGGTTAAGGGTGCGAGGCCAAGTGACCAAACAAACGGGTAGCGGTACCAGCAGTTCACCAACATCCTTTGTTACCCGGAGGGTGCGAACGACTGATATTGGGCGTAATATGCTGTTTCACGTGCACGCACACACAAAACTGATCCTTTGATTTGGTGGAGCCGCCGTCTTCTTGCACTGTCGGAGCGAGAGGAAGGTATTTAGGAGGGTACCGGTGGGATTGTTGGTTGTTTTTTCTTTTTTCTTTTTTCTTTTCTATCATAGCTGTGCAGCTTGTAACGGTACGGTACCGGTAGTCAGCAGATCTTCCAGCTCCGCGAAAGACTGTCCATCTACAAAGTGCTCGTGGAGGTCACGTTTGTGACCAAGTTACCGAAGCAGACCTCGCTATCAACTTCCTCCCCGTACCGGTAACTTATGTGATACCTGACCGCGATTCAACTTAACTCCATCACGGAGATGGGCCATCTCTCACACACTCTCTTCACTCGAACCTCGTATCAATCCGGGTGAAAAAGTATAACCGGCCCCACCATTTTTGCGGAAAAATGGAGTTGACCACAAACAGGCCCAGCAGTCACTTACTCCTTCCCTCAAGGATGGACAAATGCAGGGAATATAGAAGCAGGCACGAGGAAGGGGCAATAATTGATATTTTCTTTTCTCCTCTCCCTCCTGTCACATCCAATCGATCTCTCTGAGACTTTGTGGCCAGCGCCCCTCCCACCAATTTTTTTTTTTCTTTTCCATCCACAGCCACTGGTCCAAAGGAAAATTTTCCTATCCTATCCCGAACGTGATACCAGTACTCGTACACGCAGAGGAAAGGGTTGAGGCTACAGGGTACCTGAATGCGGAGGCGAGGTTGATTTTTTTCTTTTCTTCTCTTTTTTTCTTACGTATGGTGGAATGGAAACAGGGAAATCGGTGGACTCGGCATGACCCAGAACAAAAATCGCAGTCAGAGAGAAATATCACTCGAATGAAGCGGCTTTGGACAAGGAAGAGGAGCAACACGCTGGAATTGGCTGGTATCTAATGGGGGACGGGTCCTGAGCGGAGAGGGAATTATTTTGGGGAATAGGTTCACCTGGAGCTAGTCAGGGCGAGTGCACTGGTTCCGAGAGTGATTTTTTGTGTGCTTGTGTTCAAAAGTCATGGCTACGGTACCGCAGTTTTTCTCCTTCTCCCCCCTCTTTCGTAGTCTTTTTTTCAGCCTACGGAAAGATCCAGAGAGACCAGCGTCACTCTAAGGCTTTGTTTTGGAAACTCAGACCGGTCACTGATGGTCTCCCACGGTGCCTTTCTGTTCCGAGAGTCCTCCTGTAAGTCGGATCGACGCTTACTGGAGGATTGGATCAGGGCATTGCAAGATGTTGATTGATGACCGAGTCAGAGCACCCGGGCCGCAAGAAAAAAGGGGCGTGGTTAGTGAGATGGATGATGGCTGCAGTGGAGGTGGTATTGGGTTCCGTAGAAAGCAAGCGTGCGTGTAATGTATAAGGCATCATAAACCAAGAGTCTTGAGAGGGAGAAGAAAATAATAATAATAATACTAGTAATAGTGAAATGGAAGCAACTGTTCACGTAACTTCTCCCTCTCCTCGTCCGCCGTCACTTCCACACACAGTGCCCGCCTCCGAAGATTGTAAGTCTTGCCCTTTTTTTCATCCCCCCCCCACCTTCCTTCCCTAGCTGTTTGCCCTTCTCTTTATTTCCCCAGCATTCCCCCCTTCATCCTCTTTCTTCTTTTCCTCCTCCTTCCACTCATCTATCCATCCATCAGCTTTCATCGCTTTTCTGTCATTGGTTTACTTTTTTTTCCCTGCCAAATCGATTTCTCGCTCTCCTCCCTGCCTCACCCCAAAGAATAAGTCGGGCGGTGCAAAAAAATCGGGAGAGAGGAAGGAAAGCACGAGAAGAGACGATTACCTCATCGAGAGGCTTAAATAAAAAAAGTTTTTGCTGCATGTACTCAGCAGTCATCTCAAAACACTCAATATCCCCCTGAGTACTGGGCAGCTGGGCCATCTAGTGGACACACGCATCAGTAGCCTTGCTGGTTCTTCCCCGCTCCTCACCCCTCATCCATTCAGCCTGCCCTTTCACGGTAGTCCCATATCCAGGAACGAGGCGCAGGTTATACGGCAACGATCATCCGGGAAAAGTGGTAGAAATCTTTTGGCACCCAGACACATATTCCTCTCTCACACGTAACTACGCCCTCACCTCGCTTTACTCGGTACTCTCTTTGGCTCGCGCATTAGGGCATTCGAAATAGTTCGTGTCTTGCTGCAGGCGTTAGCTGCATCACGCCGACCAACGGATCTACTAATAAGCAACTCGAAACATATGCCACTTGGGCTCGCGGCTCTTCCTTAAAAGCCTCCCTCCGCGCTCCCATTTCACGCCTTTGAACACCAAAGGCGTCAATCGATCATCCACCACGCCTCGCAGGTTCTTGCTCAGAACATCTCTCAAGATTGTATCCACTCGACCCTTTCGGAGTACATTTAACAACATACCGCCTCCGGAGACCTTCGTTCACAACAGCTGTTTTAGGGGTTGCTAGTTTGAAGACATCAAAACTTCAACCCCAATTCCTTTCCCTGCTGCATAGTTCTCGCCATCGTTTCCTTCCTCTTAAGGAGGAGGGGTCGAGGCGGTCGCCCTTCGTCAACTTCGAGTGTGTTCGATTTCGTCCACCTTAGCAGGAAGTTTTGCACTATCGTTATCAATTCTTACAGTCTTTGGGCTTAGATTTCTCAGTTTACCATCAACCATTTTCGACACATGAGTCCTTCTGAAACCGTTGCTTGGCCACCCGTCGATATCTCCTCCCACTCTGAGAGTTCCTTTCAACCTTGGTGCCCTCAAGCTATGGCTCCTTCAGCACTTGCGCCCCCGGGACCGGTCCCCCCAGCTGTCACCCCATACAGCTCCAAGAGATTCGTTGGTTCCGCCGCCACCAGCACAAAGCACCTTGCGCAGGCTTCAATATTCCGGGCATTGCAAACGCATATCAACGCTATCAATCCCGATGAATGTGAGGCGGGGGTTGAGGACGCCTTCTTCGTGGCAGACCTTGGCGAGGTTTACCGCCAGCACATGCGCTGGAAGATGAATTTGCCTAGAGTGGAGCCTTTCTATGGTAAGAATAATCCATCATATTCGACGTATACAAATTAACTTGGCGTAGCTGTTAAGTGTAATGGCGACGAGAAGGTTCTGAGGCTTCTTGCTGCATTGGGAACAGGCTTCGACTGTGCCTCCAAGGCGGAAATTCAACAGGTCCTGAACCTCGGCGTTAACCCATCTCGCATCATCTATGCAAACCCTTGCAAAACAGCATCCTACATTCGCTATGCAGCCGAGGAAAATGTTCGTATGATGACCTTCGATAACGCCGAAGAGCTTTATAAGGTGAAAAAGTTTTTCCCGGATGCCCGCCTTTTCCTTCGCATCTGCACAGATGATTCCAAGTCCTTGTGCCGCCTTAGTCTTAAGTATGGTGCTCCATTGGATTCCACTCGTCATTTGTTGGAATTGGCCAGGGATTTGCGGTTGGATGTGGTAGGTGTTAGCTTCCACGTGGGGTCCGGGTCATACGACCCCACTGCATTTGTGACCGCCGTTCAGGACGCCCGTAGGGTGTTTGATGAAGCAGCAGAGGTTGGCTACGACTTGCGTACACTGGATGTTGGGGGTGGTTATGGAAATGACAACTTTGAAGCTATCGCCGCCGTTCTTGGGCCCGCCATTGACCAATATTTCCAGTCCAGTGTCCGCGTTATTGCCGAGCCTGGCCGCTATTATGTTTCCTCGGCATTTACGATTGCAACTCACATCATTGCACGCCGTACTGTCCAGGAGGATGGATCCCGCAACCCTTCTTACATGATTTACCTCAATGATGGTGTTTACGGAAATTTCTCGGGTATCCTATTCGATCACCAGAAACCAGTTCCGAAGGTGCTGAAGCATGGAGATGAATACTCTTTCGAGTCGACCCCTACCGATTCTCAATTGATCAAATACTCCATCTGGGGACCAACCTGTGATGGTATTGATTGTGTGTCCTCTTCTAGCTATTTGCCTGAGGTTTTGGAAGTGGGCGACTGGCTCTATTTCAGTGACATGGGAGGTTCGTATTACCATATCTCAGGTTTATGATGCTGGTGGCTGATTGCCTATGTAGCCTATTCTAAGTGCTCGGCGACGAAATTCAACGGGTTCAGCGATAATCACGACGTTGTCTATGTTGTGAGCGATCCAGGAGCGTTGGCACTCCTCCCCTAAGTGGCTGCCGACGAGCAACTCTCTAATTCGTCCGTTGCGAGTTTTCCCGATGGAAGTTCGGGTTGGGCTGTGACTTGGGCCAACTGTGGTACTATTTTTTTATTTTGGCTTTGGGTGTTTATTTCACTTCTTAATCGTATAATATTACATGGCTATGTATAGATGGCTTCGAGTGTTTTTATTTCCGTCATACACCTTGAATGTTTCCCTTTTTTCTCTTTTCCTTTATTGTTTTTTTTTTCTTTTTCACTGAGATGTTTCATCTGTCGGACATGTTGATCGTGTTGCGGCTATTTGAGATTTTTTTTTGCATTTTGAGGTTCATTTTATTCTCGGGAAAAAGTTTTAGAAGGGATTTCATTGATGAGTGAATGGAGAAATACAGATTTGATGGGTTTGTTTAGTTTATTGTTGTTGAGCTTGGAGGGGAATAATTATAAGTTTATTAGATTGTGTTTTATATTGGACCATTATTTTGTTGTAATTGATATCAGTTTCCTGCAGTATCATGGTTGGCCACCACCACTTCACTCACTTGAGGAGAGGCATCAGGCTCTTGATTCGATCTACCTTACCGTAAGGTAGAGAGTATGATAGGGGCAATGATAGTGTACGAGTGCTGTACAGTACTAGCTGCACAAGTCAGCTATTGATTCACTCCCCGGTGCTTGGGCTAACTATCAGCCTAAGCCCCTCGCACCCTCCTTCCCTCCTTTAATCCAGTATGGTAAGGAAGGTGGCCTGGTTTGTCCGCCTGCTTTACCTTTCACCTCCCCGTGACCACGCCAAGTAAACCAATCACAAGTGCCGGTATGACACCATAGCGTAGGCCTCACCTCATCCCTCCATTCAATCATACATCATCTATGATCTATCTACTCATCTACACCGCGCCGCATCCCCCGCGCCTGGAGACAATCCACCTTAGCCAGTCCGGCAAGGGCGGCCAGGCATAGGCAATGTGAGAAAGATTGGCCTAAGCCACGGCCTCGAGAACAAGCTAAATGGCCAGCTAGTGAGTCGAAAGACACTGTACGGCATGAATTCTTAGTCTATGCCACCGTCGCTGCCCTCGACAGCAGCAACCGCAACAGCACCTGAGCCGAGGCGGCGAAAGACACGGTGCTTGGGCCGGCTTTGCGGTGAGATTCGTTTGGCCCAGCTTAATCAAATTTACCCGGATGCGTTGACAACCTGTTTGCCTACGGTAGCAGGAGGTAAGGCATTGTGGCTCAGGCGGGGACGAGGTTGTAGCATTTTGCCATACCGCGCTATTTGGCAGCGTATAGAATGGGAGGTAGAAGGCTTGACGGAGCTGAGATGGGAGTATGATATGATACGGTATCTGAGGGCTAACCTTGTAATTACGGCCCTAGAGTACCGTACCGTATTGTGTGTGTGTATACTGTACTATTACTGCCGGAGGCCCACATGTGAGGCTTTTTTTTTTCACCCCTTCTTCCTTAACATTTGGTACGGTACTTGTGGGGGCGGGTCTCGTGGTAATGGCATAGATTACGGACGGGGTTGGCTTAGTCGATCGAGTCTATAGGGTAGTTATGGTGGGGGTTTGAGCTTAGCCAGGGCATATGGTTCTGCAAGGATTTGATCGAACTCGCACGGTACGGTAGGGTACTGTACTGTACAGTACTCTGTTAGGGTATTATTAAAGGGAGTTTTTGCCTATAAATTTTTATTACTCGTGCTAGAGTGGCCTGGAGCCGGACTTGAGCTGGGCCGTCTCCTACTGGTCACCTATTACTTGCACAGTGTTCAACGAGTACGGGTAGGGTGTGTGGGACTGGTACGGTGCTCGAATATACCGTACCCATATCATACAACCATCCAATAATAATAATAATAATAACAACGGTAAAAGTTGGCGAACAGTCAATTCAGGCCAATTAGCAAAAATAAGTCCCATCTTGCATCATGCTCGTACTCGTACAGTACATTACAGTACGCAAATATCTCCCTGGGCATGGTACAGTACCGTACTGGCACAACCCACTAAATTACCGTACCCCAATAATCCAACGAACGAACGGACAGGCAGGCGGGAAGGAAGGAAAGAAGGAAGGAAGGAAGGAAGGGGGGAGGGGACCAAAGACCCACCGCGAGAACACACAAAACGGGAAAAAAAGACCCCCTCTCTTCCCCCGCGGCATTACGATAGTTCTACAGTATGATACGGCATCAAAGTTAGTTAGTCTGTTAATTAGTTAGGTAGGTGTTACGAGGGGGATAGAAAAAA